ATCTCTTGGCAACATGACTTTTCTTAATCTTGCTTATTTTTCTGTCTCATGATTTGTAGTTGAATACTAGATATTATTTTAAAAAGAAATTAGAGACTGAGATATACAGTAGTTATGCCTCAAAATGGGTATACTTTTTCTTCTGCCAGATTGTTCAGGTAGTGGCAGAGTGAATTGACTCAATATTGACCTAGGTTTGGCTTTTATTGCCACTATAGTTACCTTCAGTGCACCACAGCATTACATAATGGTAAAGGAATCAATGCAAAAAAAAAGAGCTAGCTATCCTAAATATATATGCACCCAATACAGGAGCATCCAGATTCATAAAGCAAGTTCTCAGAGACCTACAAAGAAGCTTAGGCTCCCATACAACAATAGTTGGAGACTTTAATACCCCTCTGTGAATATTAGGCAGATTAACAAGATAGAAAATTAACAAGGATCTTCAGAACTTGAATTCAGCTCTGGACCCAGCAGACCTAATACACATCTACAGAACTCTCCACCCCAAATCAAGAGAATATACATTCTTCTCAGCAGCACATCACACTTATTCTAAAATTGACCACATAATTGGAAGTAAAACACTTTTCAGCAAAGGCAAAAAAAATGGAAATAATAACAAACAGTATCTCAGACCACAGTGCAATCAAATTATAACTCAGGATTAAGAAACTCACTCAAAACCACACAACTACATGGAAACTGAACAACCTGCTTCTGAATGACTACTGGGTAAATAACAAAATTAAGGCAGAAATAAATAAGTTCCTTGAAACCAAAGAGAACAAAGACACAATGTACCAGAATCTCTGGGACACAGCTAATGAGTGCTTAGAAGGAAATTTATAGCACTACATGCCCACAGGAGAAAGTAGGAAAGATCTAAAATCAACACCCTAACATAACAATTAAAAGAACTAGAGAATCAAGAGCAAACATTTAAAAGCTAGCAGAAGACATTAAATAAGATCAGAGCAGAACTGAAGGAGATAAAGACACAAAAAATCCTTCTAAAGACCAATGAATCCAGGAACTGATTTTTTTTTAAGATTAAAAAAAAAAACCACCAGCAAGACTAATAAAGAAGAAAAGACAGAAGAATCAAACACAATAAAAAATGATAAAGGGGATATTACCACTGATCCCACAGAAATACAAACTACCATCACAGAATACTATATGCAAATAAACTAGAAAATCTAGAAGAAATGGATAAATTCCTGGACACATGCACACTCCCAAGACTAAACCAGAAAAAATTTGAATCCCTGAATAGACCAATAGCAAGTTCTGAAATTCAGGCAGTAATTAACAGGCTACCAACCAAAAAAAGCCCAGGGCCACCTGATTTACAGCCAAATTCTACCAGAGGTACAAAGAGGAGCTGGTACCATTCCTTCTGAAACTATTCCAAACAATAGACAAAGAGGGACTCCTCTCTAATTCATTTTATGAGGCCTGCATTATCCTAATACTAAAACCTGGCAGAGATACACACAAAAGAGAAAATTTTAGGCCAATATTCCTGATGAACATTAATGCAAAAATCCTCAATAAAATACTAGCAAACCAAATCCAGCAGTACATTAAAAAGCTTATCCATCATGATCACATCAGCTTCATCCCTGGGATGCAAGTGTGGTTCAATATATGCAAATCAATAAACATAATCCATCACATAAACAACCAATGACAAAAACTACGTAATTATCTCAATAGATGCAGAAAAGGCCTTAGATAAAATTCACCTCTTCATGCTAAAAACTCTCGATAAACCAGGTATTGATGGAATGTGACTCAAAATAATAAGAGCTATTTATGGCAAACCCACAGCCAATATCATACTGAATGGGCAAAAACGGGAAGCATTCCCTTTGAAATCTGGCACTAGACAAGGATGCCCTCTCTCACCACTCCTATTCAATATATTATTGGAAGTTATGGGCACGGCAATCAGGAGAGATAAATTAATAAATGGTATTCAAATAGAAGAGAGGAAGTCAAATTGTCTCTGTTTCCAAATGACGTGATTGTAAATTTAGAAAACCCCATCGTCTCAGCCCAAAACCTTCTTAAGCTGATAAGAAACTTCAGCAAAATCTCAGGATACAAAATCAATGTGAAAAAATCACCTGCTAAACATTCTTACCTGCTAATAATAGAGAGCCAAATCATGAGTGAACTCCCATTCACAATTGCTACAAAGAGAATAAAATACCTAGAAATATAACTTACAAGAATGTGAAGAGTCTTTTCAAGGAGAACTACAACCACTTCTCAAGGAAATAAGAGAGGACACAAACAAATGGGAAACCATTCCATGCTCATAGATAGGAAAAATCAATATTATGAAAATAGTCATACTGCCCAAAGTGATTTATAGATTCAGTGCTGTTTCCATCAAGCTATCATTGACTTTCTTCACATAATTAGAAAAAAAAAATACTTTACATTTCATATGAAACCAAAAAAGAGCCCATATAGCCAAGACAATCCTAAGTGAAAAGGACAAAGCTGGAGGTACCACCTGACTTCAAACTATCTGATCTTTAGCAAACCTGACAAAAACATGCAATAGATAAAGATTTCCTATTTAATAAGTGGTATTGGGAAAACTGGCTAGCCATAGGCAGAAAACTGAACCTGGACCCCTTTTTTACACCTTATACAAAAATTAAGATGGATTAAAGACGTAAATATAAGACCTAAAATCATAAAAACCCTAGAAGAAAACCTAGGCAATACCATTCAGGATATAGGAATGGGCAAAGATTTCATGACTGAATCACCAAAAGCAATGGCAACAAAAGCCAATATTGACAAATGAGATCTAATTAAACTAAAGAGCTTCTGCACAGCAAAAGAAACTACCATCAGAGTGAACAGGCAACCTACAGAATGGGAGAATATTGTTGCAATCTATCCATCTGACAAATGTCTAATATCCAGAATCTACAAGGAACTTAAACAAATTTACAAGAAAAAACAACCCTATCAAAAAGTGGTTAAAGGATATGAACAGACACTTTTCAAAAGAAGACATTTATGTGGCCAAAAAACATATGAAGAAAAGCTAATCATTATTAGTCATTAGAGAAATGCAAATCAAAACCATATTGAAATACCATCTCATGCCATTTAGAAGGGTGATCATTAAAAAGTCAGGAAACAACCAGTGCTGGAGAGGATATGGAGAATTAGGAATGCTGTTACACTGTTGATGGGAGTGTAAATTAATTCAACCATTGTGGAAGACAGTGTGGCAATTTCTCAAGGATCTAAAACCAGAAATACTATTTGACCCAGCAATCCCATTACTTGGTATATACCCAAAGGATTATAAATCATTCTACTGTAAAGACACATGCACATGAATGATTATTGCAGCACTATTCACAATAGCAATGACTTGGAACCAACCTAAATGCCCATCACTGATAGATTGTATAAAGAAAGTGTGGCACATATACACCATGAAATACTATGCAGCCATATAAAAGGATGAGTTCATGTCCTTTGCAGGGACATGGATGAAGCTGGAAACCATCATTCTCAGCAAACTAACACAGAAACAGAAAAGTAAACACCGCATGGTCTCACTGGTAAGTGGGAGTTGAACAATGAGAACATATGGGCACAGGGAGGGGGACATCACATACTGTACCAGGGCCTGTCAGGGGGGTGGGGGGCAAGGGGAGAGATAGCAGGAGAAATACCTAATGTCAATGACAGGTTTGATGGGTGCAGCAAGCCACCATGGCACATGTATACCTATGTAACAAACCTGCATGTTCTGCACATGTATCCCAGAACTTAAAGTATAGTAAAAAATAAAATTATTTTTTCATCTTTGGTAGTAGCAGAAGGGGAAGAACACTCAAAGGATCTGAGGAATAAGGGATGCTGAAGTGGGTGATAAAAAATTGATTGAACTTTTCTTGGTGGGCTATTTGACCCTATATGCTAAAAATATCCATATACTCTGCTCTACTATCTTTTATTCTAGAAATTTATTATATATAAATAATTAGAAGCATAGAAAGATTTATGTACAAGGAGGCTTATTTATAGCAGGATTATTTATAATTATAAAACAACAATAATTTGAATTCCAACAATGAAAGAATGGCTTAATCAATTATGATGCAACAAAATCATTTTTCAAAGGATTTTTAATGGCATGAAGACAGGCCTAAAATGCAGGATAAGCACCCGTCTCTTTTTAGTTTTCTATTTAAATTTTAAAATATTGTGTTTTTATATAATTTATGTCTTTATATAAAAGCCCATAAAGAAATAATCAATGTATTAATGGTTATTATCTTTAGGTGGTAGAATTATGGGTGATTATTTTTTTCTGTACACTTTTGTGTATTTTGTAAATGTTCTAAAAGAAGCATGTTTTAATATTAAGAAAACAACTATTATAAAATAAGACTAAGCTACAAGGAAGAATGAATAATTACTCTTTGTGTTTCTCTGTGGAGTGGATGAGTTGGACAAAAAAGATGAGTAATGGGAGTGAAAGGGGATGGCTACAATCTGCCTAACATGCCCCAGCCGAATATTTGTTTTAATAAATTTGTTACTTGAAAACATGCAGCTTCTTTCCTTATTGCCCTGCTTTATGAGGGCCCATTTATTGTTTAGCTTGTAATATGTACCATATTTGGTGGTAGTCACTTGAATTTTTCAAAGTTTACATTTTGGAACTATCAGTCTTATAAAAAAGGATAGACTAGAATAAAGAACAAATTTATGCAGCTTTATGCTTCAACTAAATAAAAATCAGTTCTGACAATGTAAGAACATACCCTGTTCCTCTAATCCTATTTTGTTCTGATAAGGTAACTCTCAGACATTATACGTGAAATAAAGTTGTTCTTCTATGATAATTCACTAACTAAATAATGTTAAAGGTTAAACCTCGTTAGTTAACCAGATAAATTTTAGGTCTGTTGTTAATTATGGAAAAATATTCTTTGTTTTTTAAGGTGATGATTTGAATGACACGTCATCTAAGGAGGCAAATTCTCAAAGAGATTCTGTCACATTCAAGGATATAGAAGAAAGGTAAGTGGCATTCCTTCAAAACACATGGTTTAATAACCATTAGGTGCCAAACCCTCAAATACGCACAGGATTACTTCTCAGTAAACCAATAGTTTTGTGATTTCATAGTATCAAAATCTACTTAAATTTATTTTATTTCAACTTAGAGTCTTTTGTATAGCTAATATAAGATCACCAGATTTTATGCTACATTTTGAAGTAATATGTATTACAGGAATACATTTGTCTAGCTTCTATACATATTCGAGAAAGGAATAAAATTGACATGAATTTATTTCATAATCTGCCATTTATGAGCTGTGAAGTGTTGAACTTGTTACTAAATGTTTTAAACTTTATTTTTTTTTTTATTTATAAAACTGGAATCATAATGTGATATGTTAGGTATCCAGAATAGAGCCTAGTACATAGTAAGAGCTCAATAAATTATAGCAATGTAAATTATTACTTCTACATTTCTTCAGCCCTTTTGTAGGGTAGAAGAGGCACTGTTGGGCTTCTTATTATGAGTCCTTAAGACATTCATATCACATTTGCTTTTGAATGATAAAACATTCACTTGTGGTTTCTACTCTGCCTGTCAGTTCCACCTTAAAATCTACTCACTTATCTACATCTCAATGATTATGGCATCCTAACCCAAACCTCCATCATTTCTTGCCTATTCTGTTTGCAATAGCTTCTAATCGGTTTCCCCAATTTTTCCTGCTCATTCTCAATGTAACAAGAGATAAATTTTTATTAAACAGTGAGTAGCCAAAAAAGAGTATTTATAAAATATGTATAAGATGTAAATAACAATACCATTATCACCCATATATATACCACTTAGCCATAAAGAAAGCACATTTTTATTTTATTTTTATTTTATTTATTTATTTGAGATGCAGTCTTACTCCGTCACCAGGCTGGAGTGCAGTGGCACTATCTGGGCTCACTACAACCTCACACTACAACTACAAATTGTGTGTGTGTGTGTGTATGTGTGTGTGTGTGTGTGTGTGTGTGTGTGTGTGTGTATCACAGGTTATTTATCCATTGGTAAACATTTAGATTTTCAATTTTTGTTATTAACAATAGTATTATGATTAATATGTTTGAACAGTTCTCTTGGTACCTATATGCAAGAGTCGATCATTTTAAAATATACTTTAAAATATTTCTTTTCTCTTCTGTAGAGATTTAAGACTTCCCATTACTCTCAGAGTAGAAGAAAAAAAAATCTTGGCACAGCTTATAAAGCTTTGCTTAACAAGCCATGATCCTTTGACCTTATGGTCTTGGCACATGAATTCCTTCTGCCCAAGATGTTCTTCCTCCTATATTTTGCCAAATATCACCCATTCTTTGGTCTCAATTAATGGTTACTTCTTCAAAGAGACCTTCCCTGACTCCCACAATCGAAATTAGTTATCCCTACTATTATTCTTCATGAAGTGTTCAACTCTTATTTTAAGTTCAGGGGAACACGTGCAGGACGTGCAGATTTGTTACATAGGTAAACATGTGCCATGGTGGTTTGCTGCACAGATCATCCCATCACCTAGGTATTAAGCCCAGGATCCATTAGCTATTTTTCCTAGTGCTCTTCCTCCCACAACCACCACCCTGACAGGCCCCAGTTTGTGTTGTTCCCCTGCCCATGTGCCCATGTGTTCTCATCCTTCAGCTCCAACTTACAAGGGAGAACATGTACAGTTTGGTTTTCTGTTCCTGCATTAGTTTGCTGAAGATAATGGCCTCTAGCTCCATCCATGTCCCTGCAAAGGACATGATCTCATTCCTTTTCATGGCTGCATAGTATTCCATGGTGTAAATGTACCGCATTTCCTCTATCCAATCTATCATTGATGGGCATTTAGGTTGATTCCATATTTTTGCTACTGTGAATTGTACTTTGATGAACATATGTGTGCATGTATCTTTATAATAGAATGATTTATATTCCCTTGGGTATACACCCAGTAATGGGATTTCTGGGTCAAATGGTATTTCTGCCTCTACATCTTTGAAGAATCACTACACTGTCTTCCACAATGGTTGAACTAATTTACACTTCCACCAACAGTGTAAAAGCATTCTTTTTTCTTTGCAACATTGCCAGCATTTGTTGTTTTTTGACTTTTTAGTAATCACCATTCTGACTAGCATGAGATAGTGTCTCATTATGATTTTGATTTGCATTTCTCTAATGATTAGTGATGTTGAGCTTTCTTTTATGTTTTTTTGGCCACATGTATGTCTCTTTTAAGAAGTGTTTGGTCCTGTCTTTTGCCCATTTTTTAATGGGGTTGTTTGTTTTTTTCTTGTAAATCTGCTTAAGTTCCTTGTAGATTCTGGATATTAGACCTTTGTCAGATGGATAGACTGCAAAAATTTTCTCCCATTCTGTAGAGTGTCTGTTCACTCTGATGATAGTTTCTTTTGCTGTGCAGAAGTTCTTTAGTTTGATTAGATTCCATTTGTCAATTTTTGCTTTTGTTGAAATTGCTTTTGGAATTTTTGTCATGAAAGCTTTGCCCATGCCTATATTCTGAATGGTATTTGCCTAGCTTTTCTTCTAGGGTTTTTATAGTTTGGGATTTTACATTTAAGTCTTTAATCTATCTTGAATTAATTTTTTATAAGGTGTAAGGAAGGGGTCCAGTTTCAGTTTTCTGCATATGGCTAGCCAATTCTCCCAGCACCATTTGTTAAATAGAAAATCCTTTCCCCATTGCTTGTTTTTGTCACATTTGTCAAAGATCAGATGGTTGTAGATATATGGTCTTATTTCTGAGTTCTCTATTCCATTGGCTGGAACAGCTGAGTAAATCAAACTGCAGAGATGGTGGCTGCCCCTCCCCCTGGGAATTTGATCCCTTCTTAGGCAGCCTCCAGCCTGTTGCTATTGGCTAGCTGGAATTCCAAGTCAGTGGGTCTTAACTCCTGAGGTGCCGTGGAAGTGGGGTTCACAGAATGATGCTGCTTGGCTCTCTGGACCCAGCCCCTTTCCTATCAGAAGGTATGGCTAGATCTCCTGTCTTTCTGGAATTTCTGGGGCCAGAGTACATAAACTCCTAGGTCCCTGTACATACAGGGAGCAGCTGCTCTGCCAAGATACCCCACAGCTCTGGTGTATGGAACTCAAGGCCCTGGCGGCATTGGCATCAGGGGATCTCCTGATCTGTGGGTTATAAAGATCCATGGGAGAAGCGTGTGTTCCTGGGTAGGGTTTCACACTAACTCACTGCTTTCCTTGGCTGGGAGTGGGTGGGCATTTCTTTGGCTACATATTGCACCTAGGTGGACCATCACCTCACCCTGCTTTTCTTCATTCTCCATGGGTTGAGTTGTTTGCCTAGTCAGTCCCAATGAGAGAACCTGGATATTTCAGTTGAAGGTGCTGAATGCTCTCACCGTTTTTATTCCTCTTCATGAGTGCCAAGGGTAGCAGCTGCTTCTAATCAGCCATCCTGACCCCATGACCAACTTTTTTCTTTACACTTATCATGGTTTAGCATTAATTTTCCTGTTCTGTAAAAAAGGGATTATATCTATTTTATTCAGAATAACTGATACATAATAGCCCACTCAAATATTTGTTAAGTGAACTATTACATATGGCTAGAAATTTCAGATAGAATTGTACAAATGAACTGTACATTAATGGTTGCTAATAAATTCTAGTTTAGGGATATGTTTTTATGTTTTTCACAATTTATAGATAGTTTTATGATAATGCTAAATCCTGAACTGGATAAAATGTCTTTAAATCAGGTTCAAATCTTGTGTTAAGCCCCCTCATCATCACCATAGAATATCATGATCCCACCAACCATGGATGATCTGTGTTAATCCAGAAAGGAGAAGACTCTCCAGATTCAGATTGCCTGGCTTTAGCCAGGTTGAACTAAATCAATCTCTAGGACTTGATTGGGAGGAAAGCAGGGTGAATGTCTTTCCACATAAAATTAAGAATTATAATTTCCCCTTCCAAAATGCATATAAACTGTCAGCTAATAAACTGACCTAAAATAAAAATCAAACACATTTACATAAATTGAAATATATACATATATTAAGTATATGTATGTATATTAAATAACATATTAAACATATTAAATAAAGGTATATTATAAAGACATTTATACATATGTTAAATAAAAACACTTTAAAGGTGTATTTGAAACAAAGTTTGACTACACATGTTCCTTTAAAAATAAAAATAGTAACTGTATAATTCACATGACAGTTATCAAATGAAAAAATTACATGAACTCTGAAACTTTTATATTAACACCTAACTACATTACAGTTTTTAATAATGAAATTTTAACATGATATTAAAATAACTTTCTATTTCTACACTGCTTTCTGAAAATGTTAACCTTCATCCTTCCATACCTCTCTGCCCCAGGGATGAAAATACATGGGATCTAGAGAAAAATCCTGATAAATTAACAAAAATTATTCAGAAGCTTTTTGTGTTTGCCTTTACTTGGGCATTTGGAGGAGCTTTAAACCGCGAAGATGAATACAAAGAGGATATGCCATTTTGTCCCAGTTTTGAACCTGATTCTCTTGCAAAAGTAACATATGATTTTGACAAACTTGTTCATGAATTATTTGGAAGCAATTCACAAGTAGGTAAGTTCTGAGGAAAAATCATAATTATGCTTATTTTAAAATATTAAAATTATGCTTGGCTAATAATGATTAGGTTCATCTTTTAAATAAAAAATACAAATCCTACTGATTTATCTGATGTACCTGTTTGAGGTTTTAGTCATACATTGCTGAATAACTGGGATATGTTTTCTGAGAAATGTGCTGTGGGGGATTTTTTCATTGTGTGAACATCAAACAGTGAACTTAAACAAATCTAGATAGTGTAGCCTACTACACACCTAGACTATATGGCATAACTTATTGCTCTAAGGCTACAAATATATATAGCATGTTACTGTACTGAATACTGTAGGCCATGGCAACAAACTAGTATTTGTGCAGCTAAACATATCTAACCATAGAAAAGGTACAGTAAAAATTAAGTATAAAAGATTTAAAATATGGTACACCTGCATAGGGCACTTACCATGAATGGAACATGCAGGACTGGAAATTGTTCTGAGTCAGTGAGTGAGTGGTGAGTCACTGTGAAGGCCTACGACATTACTGTACATTACTGTAGACTTTATCAACACTATACCCTTAGGCTACACTAAATTTATTTTTAAATTTTTCTTTCTTTAGGCTGGGTACAGTAGCCCATGCCTGTAATCCCAGCACTTTGGGAGGCCAAGGCAGGAGGATTGCTTGAGCCAGGAGTTCAAGACCAGCTTGGGCAACATAGTGAGACCCACCCCCAGCTCTAAAAACAAATAAGTGAATAAATTAAAAACCAGGCATGGTGATACACTCCTATAGTTCCAGCTACTTGGAAGGCTGAGGTGGGAGGATCACTTGACCCAAGAGTTGGAGGCTGCAGTGAGTCATGATCATGCTACTGTACTCCAGCCTGGGCAACAGAATAAGACCCAGCCTCAGAAAGAAAAAAAATATTTCTTTAATAATAACCTTAGCTTACTATAACTTTTTTACTTTATAAGATTTTAAATTTTTTTAACTTTTGACTCCTTTGAAACAACACTTAGCTTAAAGCACAAACACATTGTATAGGTGTGTAAAAATATTTTCTTTATATTATTCTGTGTATATTATATATATAAAACATATAAATATGTATAACATGTATAACATTATATATATAATGTATATAAAAAAGTATATATATATTTCAAAAAGTAAATATATATATATTTATATATATTTTTTGAACTGTTTTTTTAAAACAGTTTTTTTGAACTTTTTGAACTGTTTTTTTAAAAACTAAGACACACACACATTAGCCTAAGCCTACATGGGATCAGGTTTGTCAATATCACTGTCTTCCACCTCCATGTCTTGTCCTACTGGAAGGTCTTTGGGGCAGTAATACACACAGAGCTGTCATCTCCTATGACAACAATGCCTTCTTCTGGAATACCACCTCAAGGACCTGCCTGAAGCTGTTTTACAGTTAACTTTATATATAAATAGAAGGAGTGCACTCAAAAAAAATAATAAAAAGTATAATATTGTAAATACATAAACATGGTCATTTATTATCAGTATCAAATATTATGTACTGTAGATAATTGTATATGCAAGTTGCAGCACAGTAGGTTTGTTTATACCAGCATCACCATAAACATTATTAGTACATTGTGCTATGATATTATGACAGCTATGATGTTATGATGACTATGATGTTCCTAGGTGATAGGAATGTTTCAGCTTCATTATAATCTTATGGTAATGTCATCATATATGCAGTCCATGATTGACTAAAACATCATTATGTAGCACATTACCATATTTGATTTAAGACATTTGGATGGCAAAGATTCTATGTTATTTCTTGTGGAAATTAACCCTTAATCAAAAGCATTGCATGTTAACTTGTTTTTGAAATTAATGATTCAACTTCATGCCTATAACTCCTAAAGATAAATAAATTACCTTAATTTATTTGCCAAGTAGAAATACCTAAAACTCTGTGTTTGCTCTTCCTATAAACTAAAGGGCAAGTTAATAAATTATTCATTATATTTGAATGTTTGTCTTAAAACAATGAATATGAAATTTTGCTTTATCATCTGAAATACCAGTATAAAACTAGGTTAGAATAGGAGGGTAAAAAGGGAAGCAAAGACAGGTAAAGGCAATTCTAGAAATATAAAACCACCTAAATAGAAATAAAGAAAAAGAAAAAAAGAGGGAAAGCCAAAAAAATTTATAATTATCTTCCAAGCAAAAATTGTAAAACACATAAAGCCTAACTTATTTTAAGGAAGTATACCACCAAAATGGCCCATCATATTAATCCATCTCAGGTAAAATTATTATGACCTAACACAGATTTTAATGTAAGTGTTTAGGGTTCTCAAAAAGATAAAGGAATGGCATCCATTTTAAATAAATGAGAAATTATGGAACAAGAAGTAGAAATTTGAAAAGAACAAAATAGGCATCCTGGATATGAAAAATTTAGTCATTTACAAGAGAAAGTCTTATCAGCTTAAGGAGTTTTTGGGCTGAGATGATGGGGTTTTCTAAATATACAATCATGTCATCTGCAAACAGAGACAATTTAACTTCTTCTCTTCCTACTTGAATACCCTTTATTTCTTTCTGTTGCCTGATTGCCCTGGCCGGAACTTCCAGTACTATGTTGTATAGGAGTGGTAAGAGAGTGTGCCCTTATCTTGTGCCAGTTTTCAAAGGGAATGTTTCCAGCTTTTGCCCATTAAGTGTAATATTGGCTATGGGTTTGTCATAAATAGCTCTTATTATTTTGAGATGTGTTCCACCAATACCTAGTTTATCAAGTGTTTTTAGCATGAATGAGTATTGAATTTATTGAAGACCTTTTTTCCGTCTATTGAGATAATCATGTTTTTTTAAATTGGTCTGTTTATGTGATTAATTATGTTTATTGATTTGTGTATGTTGAACTACCTTGCATCCCAGGGAAGAAGCCAACTTGATTGTGGTGGATAAGCTTTTTAACGTGCTGCTGAATTTGGTTTGCCAGTATTTTTTTTTTTTTTGAGGATTTTCACACTGATGTTCATCAGGGATATTGTCCTGAAACTTTCTTTTTTCATTGTCACAACGAAAAAAGAAAGCAAAATTTAAAAATAAATTTAGTGTAGCCTAAGTGTATAGTGTTGATAAAGTCTACAGTAAGATACAATAATGTCTCAGGCCTTCACAGTCACTCACCACTCACTCACTGACTCAGATTTTTGTATCATGATTTGTGATTCTGGCTTCATAAAATGAGTTACGGAGGAGTCCCTCCTTTTCTAGTGTTTGGAATAGTTTCAGAAGGAATAGTACCAGCTCCTCTGTACCTCTGGTAGAATTCAGCTGTGAATCCATCTGATACTGTGCTTTTTATGGTTGGTAGGCTATTAATTACTGCCTCAAGTTCAGAACTTGTTATTGGTCTATTCAGGGATTTGACTTCTTCCTGGTTTAGTCTTGGGAGTGTGTATATGTCCAGGAATTTATCCCTTTCCTCTAGATTTTCTAGCTTATTTGCATAGAGGTGTTTATACTATTCTCTGTTAGTAGTTTGTATTTCTGTGGGATTAGTGGTGATCTCCCCTTTATCATTTTTATTGTGTCTATTTGAGTCTTCTCTCTATTCTTCTTTATTAGTCTGGCTAGTGGTCTATCTATTTTGTTAATCTTTTCAAAAAACCAACTCCTGGAATTTTGATCTTTAGAAGAGTTGTTCATGTCTTTATCTCCTTCAGTTCTGCTCTGATCTTAGTTATTTTTTGTCTTCTACTATCTTTTGAATCTGTTTTCTCTTGCTTCTCTAGTTATTTTCATTGTGATATTAGGGTGTTGATTTTAGATCTTTCCCACTTTCTGATGTGGACATTTAGTGCTATAAATTTTCCTCTTAACACTGCTTTAGCTCTGTCCTAGAGATTCTAGTACATATGCCTTTGTTCTCATTGGTTTCAAAGAACTTACTTATTTCTGCCTTAATTTTGTTATTTACCCAGTAGTCATTCAGGAGCAGATTGTTCAGTCTCCATGCAGTTGTGCAGTTTTGAGTGAGTTTCTTAATCCTAAGTTCTAATTAGATAGCACTGTGGTCTAAGAGACTGTTATAATTTCCATTCTTTTGCATTTGCTGAGGAGTGTTTTACTTCCAATTATGTATTCAATTTTAGAATAACTGCTCTGTGTTTCTGAGAAGAATGTATATTCTGTTGATTTGGAGTGGAGAGTTCTGTCGACGTCTATTAGGTCCAGTTGTTCCAGGGCTGAGTTCAAGTCCTGAATATCCTTGTTATTTTTCTGTCTTGTTGATCTGTCTAATATTCACAGTGGGGTGTTAAATTTTCCCATTATTATTATTATCCGAGACAGAGTCTTGCACTGCCATCCAGGCTGGAGTGCAGTGGCGCTATCTCCACTCACTGCAACCTCCACCTCCCAGGTTCAAGTGATTCTCCTGCCTCAGCCTCCCAAGTAGCTGAGATTACAGGCACCTGCCACCACACCCAGCTAATTTTTTGTATTTTTGTAGAGACAGGGTTTCACCATTTTGGCCAGGCTGGTCTTGAACTCCTGACCTTGTGATCCACCTGTCTCGGCCTCCCAATGTGCTGGGATTACAGGTGTCAGCTACTGTGCATGGCCCCCCACTATTATTGTGTGGGAGTCTCAGTCTCTTCAGCAAGGTCTCAGGATAAAAAATCAATATGCAAAAATAACAGGCATTCCTATACACCAGTAATAGACAAACAGAGAGCCAAATCATGAGTGAACTCCATTCACAATTTCTACAAAGAGAATAAAATACCTAGGAATACAGTTTACAAGGAACATGAAGGACCTCTTCAAGGAGGACTACAAACCATTGCTCAAGGAAATAACAGAGGACATAAACAAATGGAAAATCTTTCCAAGCTCATGGATAGGAAGAATCAATATCGTGAAAATGGCCATACTGCCCAAGGTAATTTATAGATTCAGTGCTATTCCCATCAAGCTATCATTGACTTTCTTCACAAAATTAGGGAAAAAAACTACTTTAAATTTCATATGGAACCAAAAAAGAGCCCACATATCCAAGACAATCTTAACCAAAAAGAGCAAAGCTGGAGGCATCACGCTACCTGACTTCAAACTATACTACAAGGCTATAGTAACCAAAACAGCATGATACTAGTACCAAAACAGATATATAGACCACTGGAGCAGCACAGAGGCCTTAGAAATAACACCACACATCTACAACCATCTGATCTTTGACAAACCTGACAAAAACAAGCAATGGGGTAAGAATTCCTTATTTAATATATGGTGTTGGGAAAACTGGCTAGCCGTAGGCAGAAAACTAAAACTGGACCTTTTCCTTACACCTTATACAAAAATTAACTCAAGAGGGATTAAAGACTTAATGTAAGACCTAAAACCTTAGAAACCCTGGAAGAAAACCTAGGCAATACCATTCAGGACATAGGAATGGGCAATGACTTCATGACTAAAACAGAAAAAGCAATGACAACAAAAGCCAAATAGACAAATGGGATCTAATTAAACTAAAGAGCTTCTGCACAGCAAAAGAAAGTATCATCAGGGTGAACAGGCAACCTACAGAACAGGAGAAAATTATTATAATCTATCCATCTGGAAAGGGCTAATATCCAGAATCTTCAAGGAACTTAAGCAGATTTACAAGAGAAAAAAACATCAAAAAGTGGTCAAAGGATATGAACAGAAACTTCTTAAAAGAAGATATATATGTGGCCAACAAACATATTTTAAAAAGCTAATCATCACTGGTCATTAGAGAAATACAAACAAAACCACAATGAGATACCATCTCAAGCCAGTTAGAATGGTGATCATTAAAGAGTCAGGAAACAACAGATGCTGGAGAGGATGTGGATAAATAGGAACGCTTTTACACTGTTGGTGGGAGTATAAAACTAGTTCAATCATTGTGAAAGATAGAGTGAAGATTCCTCCAGGATCTAGAACAAGAAATAGTGTTTGACCCAGCAATCCATTACTGGGTATATACCCAAAGGATTATAAATCATTCTCTATAAAGGCACATGCACACGTATGTATACTGCAGCACTATTCATAATAGCAAAGCCTTGGAACCAACCCACTGCCCATTTATGATAGACTGGATAAAAAAAATGTGACACATATACACCATGGATTACTGCGCAGCCATAAAAATGAATGAGTTAATGTCCTTTTCAGGGACATGGATGTGGCTGGAAACCATCATTCTTAGGAAACTAACACAAGAACAGAAAAGGAAACACCACATGTTCTCACTCATAAGTAGGAGTTGAACAATAAGAACACATGGACACAGAGAGGGGAACATCACACACTGTGGCCTGTTGAGGAGTTGGGGGAAAGGGAAGGGAGAGCATTAGGACAAATACGTAATGCATGTGGCTTAAAACCTTGATGACAGGTTGGTGGAAGTAGCAAACCACCACAGCACAAATATACCTATGTAACCTACACATTCTGCACATGTATCCCAGAACTTAAAGTATAATAAAAATAAATAAATACATAAATAAGTAAATAAAAAGAGAAACATATTTCCTGTTCTCCAAATCCTCCCCAACATTTGGAGGCAATTTATTGTCTTTCTCATTTATTTATAGCCATTCCAATGGGTATAAAGTGTATCTCACTGTGGTTTTAGTCTACATTTCTTTAATGATTAATGATGTATAATAAAGGCATGGATACTTAATTAAACCAGGGATTAGCATACTACAGCCTGTAAGGCAATTCCAGCTTGTAGCCTACTTCTGTACAGTCTGTGAGCTAGAATTATTTTTGTATTTTTAAGGGATTGTAAAGGAAAACAAAGAAGAATATACAGCAGAGATCATATGTAGCATGCTGTTTTAACCATATTCCCTTGGGTGAGGTATGGCCAGACTCAGATCAAGAAAATGGAACTGGAAGAGTTTTACAGTTTTGATATACTCACAGATTCCTAAAGAAAAAAACACTGCACATTGGGCCACTCAGGAGGGAATCACTGGGGTCAGTCACAAGGCAGAGGGAGAAAGGGAAACTGCGGGCAGGTACCTTTATTGTGGTTTCTGCAGGAAAGAAAGGGCAAGGCAGTGTAAATGGGCTTGGGATTGGCTAGCTTGAATAATTTCAGCAAGTTTTGGGGAACAAGGCTGTCCCTGGCTATCTGGTACCTAGCCTTGGGGTAATTAGGGTAGATATATCATTGCCAGGAGTATGAGAGCTCCATAAGGAAGATTCTTGAAGGTATGGATTAATCTAATCTGACTGGCATCCTTAGAAGAACAGGAAATTTGAACACACAAAAATCAAGCCACCCAGTCTATGATATTTGGTTATGGAAGCCCAAGCTAACAAATAGAATACAGCAAACGGTACTGTACCAACTGAACATTCATATGTTTTAAAAAAGGAATTTGACAGAGTAATATTATACACTAAAATTAAATGGATGATAGACCTAAATATAAATTGTAAAAATATAAACTTTTTTTTTTGAGATGGAGTCTGGCTCTTGTCGCCCAGGCTATACTGCAATGGCACAATCTCAGCTCACTGCAAGCTCTGCCTCCCAGGTTTAAGCGATTCTCCTGCCTCAGACCCCCAAGTAGCTGGGATTACAGCCACCTGCCACCATGCCCGGATAATTTTTGTATTTTTAGTAGAGATGGGGTTACACTATGTTGGCCAGACTGGTCTCAAACTTTTGACCTCAAATAATCTGCCCACCTTGGCCTCTCAAAGTGAAGGGATTACAGGCATGAGCCACTGTGCCTAGTCTAAATTATAAAATTCTTAAGAAACACAAGAAAAAATCCTTTGTGTCCTTCAGTTAGACAAAGTGTTCTTATGTAGAACACTGAAAGCATAATCTATAAGAGAAAAAAAATTTAATTAAAACATTTGCTCTGAAGAACAAACCATTAAAAGAATAACAATAATTAATAGTAAGCCACAGATTCAAAGAACATATATAAATTATATATCAAACAAAGACATATCCAGAATATATAAAGAACTCCTAAAACTATATAATAAGAAACACAATTTTTAGAATGGTGTAAAAATTTGCATATGTACTTTTCCAAAGATTTATTTACCATTCAAGTGGTAAATAAGAATATATGAAATATTAATACTGTTATTATCTATGGTTAATCCATGGCTAAATTAGTTTACTTTTATTCTATATTTTCAGAGTTTTCTACTAAGAAAATGTATTACTTTTATAATGGAAAGATAAGTGTGATTTACAAGTAACTATCAAAGTTCTCTGATATATTGGTTTGACCACAGTCAGTATGTTACTGGCATTTAATTGCATCCAAACATGGTAATAGTCAAAACTTTGGGGTAAGATTTCAAGGAATATCAGATCCTACTTCACCTTGCTTTCTGGATATAAAGAGGACAAAAAGTTAATAAAACTTCACTTTTATACATTAAAGATTGGGGGAAGACAGGCCTATTATATACAGTTGGATATACCCTTGGTGAATACTTATTATTTCTGGTTCAACAATCAAATCTTTTAGAGAGAGTTTACATGGTTAGAGAAACATTCCATAACTGAACTGCTTTCTTAGCTGAATTTATCATTTTTGAATGTAGGCATCAACCTACCAACTGGTGAATGTTCTATCTTTGGATATTTTGTGGATATACAGCAATGTGAATTCATACTTTGGTCAGATGTAGTTCCTAATGATCAGACATTAATTCAAAAAGGTAAGAATAATTATAAGAATCATACTTGTAACTTTAGAATATTGGGAATACGCTATTTATAAAAGTAATTATATCAGCAACTTTGAGGACTAATATAAGTTTGTGTAGAGACTAGTTTAGATCTATGTTTACAAAATGTATTTTTAAAAACATAACGTTTGAATAGTACTTTCTGATAAATTTAGAATATATTTGATTGAACCAAATGCACATTGTAAAACTGTAGCACATCGAAAATCTTCCAAAGAGCACTATTTATTTCAATTAGCTGTGATTATTGAGACAAGAAAATGGAAAGGACTACTTGTAAAATGTGAAAAACATATATGTAAAAACTGACAGATATAAATGAAAATGCTTATTAGAAAAGAATAATCATAGTTTGACAAATATCCATATATGCTAAATTGTTTTTATTCCCAATCTTCTGCATCTACATATAACAGAAAAAGGAAACTTGCTATACTTTGAGAGCTTGGTAGAAATTCGAGGTAGAAGCAGGAATCTAATAAGCTTCTTACAGAGTTCTTGCAAATATTAGAAATTTAATAAATACAAACTGAATTGCTTTGAAGTCAGATTTCTCTCATAAAAGGATTTCAGAGTTGGTTGTAAGAGTTTTTGACAGCAAACAACTAGAGCTATCAGAATGCTAAAATATCCAGAGTTCTAATTCTACATTTAGTTTTGTTGGAAACGCCAAGGCTATTTTATTCAGTATTTTGTTACAATAAATATTAGTGGGTGATCATATTTGTTTATAAGCTCTGAATTATATTTCATATGTTAGTGCTAATATTGAATCATAGCCTTAGCTTTTCACCACTATATAGAAAAGTATAACTGAATATCATTTGCATGTGACTCCACATCTTAGTGTATCACTCACATGGGAAACCAAAGCTGTTTTCTCCAAATCTAAAACATTACTTCCTCCGGTTGCCGTTTACCCTAATTGCAAACAAAAATCTTAGAAGTAACTAAAACCTTCCCTGGCTTTCAAACTCAAACCTGTAACAGGAATTTAAATGTCACCATATAAATTTTTTTCATGATAAACCACAATATGATAAATTGTTTGGATATCCTAGATGTGCTTCAAAAAAAGAATCCTGGATTTCTAACACTGTGGAGCTGATATATAGACAATGGACTGTTACATAAGAGAGGAATAAAATTCCACCTTTAAAAGCCATGGTTATATTTGGATCTTTGCTAAAGCAGATAGAACTTGTATCATAATTAATACACATTTCAGTAGCTAGAAATGATGCAATCACATATAAAATCCTGAAATATCTGACACTGACTTAAAAGTCAGATGCTGGGCAGTGAAGACACAATGTTGCAGATGAATACAGGTGATCCTTTATATGTCATGACCAAAATACGGCAAATTTGTTAGCTGTGATATCTGAGAAATGGACCATGTACTGTAACTCTAGGAAAAGTGGCTGGAAGATCAAAACATTGGTGTGAATTGGCTACTTTTTGTCACTTTTACTGAAGTTCAGGAAGAGAGAGATGAATTGAGATAAAAGCTAACCAGCTTTTAAGCAAAAATGAGAGATTACAGCGGTCAGGTAAGGGAGACTCTCTGCCTGAAGCCTACAATCTAGACAGAGCCCAGTATATTGGGCTTTCATAGTTTCAAAAATATTACCTATTTCTATCTCCCAAACATCAAAAGGTAAGACTGTGGACTTAAGTTTTTCTCCAGAGCCTCACATTAGATGATATCTACTAGATAGCAGCCAGCTCACCAGCAGAGATCAAATTGAGATATTACGTACCCACCCAAACCCATTGTCTCAAATGGCCTCATGGCAGCCACCATTAAAATGAGTATAATAGTGGAAAATGAACTGAGTATCAGAACTATGTTTAAAAAAGGTCTTTTGGTATGGTGGTTTGCACAGGGAACTAACTGAAAGGGGAAAAAATGAGGCTCTTTCTTCCATAATCTGTACTCTAAGATTTTATAAGATGTTGATTTATGGATCCCAATATTGAGTATTGACGTGACAGGCCATGACACAGAATTCTCTTTCTTGCTGTCATGGGGGAGTAGTTATTGGAAGGAAACATTTGCTTGCAAATTAAGAGTTGTCTGTTTTATTTAGATTTCTACTGATGTTTAAGGAGTTTAAATGTAAATTTTGTAGTATTGTTCAATCCACAACTAGGAGTGCTAAAAATTCTCCTTTATAGAAATTATAGAGGCTACAATATCAATTTAAAGAATTACATGTAATTTTGATTGAATAAATCAAGTCATTGTATCATTAGGTTGGTCATTCAAGGATTAAGGATGACAGAAATCAAAGCTTCCTTCCCTCTACTCTTTCTCACATATGCATACATGTATAATTTAATCTGGGCTAATGAAGGGCCACACTCTCTATGTGAAGGTGAACCAGATTAAACCAGCCCTTGTATATCCAGGTACTCATAATCTGAGGCCAGATACACTATCCTTCATAATCCAAGGAAGCTCCAGTCTTGAATTGGGATTAAGGTAATCCCCGATTAGTCTCCCAGCATCCAGTTAGAAGCCAATGGACATACTTTCTATAGACCAGAACTATTATTATTAAGTGTATTATCCTACACTTTATATTTTTCCTACAAATAATGTTTTCACATTTAATACCCCTTTAAAGATAGTTAGCAGAAACAAGATTGCAGCCACAAATAAATGAGATTTGGATGATTGGAATTATCAGCTATGTATTCTAAAACAGCCATGCTTACCATTTTTCAAGAAATAAAAGGATTGAAAATACCTGAAAAGCATGAGAAACTATTAAAAACTGATACAATTTGAAAAAGAATCAGTAGACCTTCTAGAAATGAAAAATACAACAGAAGTTAAAAGTTCAATAACAACAACAGAGTCTACCTAAGGGTAAATACCTGAAGCATCACCATTAAAATCCAATATTTTAACTCAATGCTGTTTTGTATACACTAGCCAATGCAATTGAAAAGAGGAATTAGAGATAGAAATTTGGAAAATAAATGATTAAATTTTAGTTATTTGAAGAAGTTATAATAAAAATCTGGAAAACCGAAGGATCAATTTAAAATTGCTATAAACAATAAGAGAATTTAGTTTTAGTCTAATTACAAAACAATATATAAAAATATTCCACATATATACAAACAACAACCAGTTACAAGATAAATAATGAAAGAAAAGATCTTATTTTGTAGTAGGAGCGGCAGTGGAACAAATGTCTCAAACACCGAACTGAGAAAGGAAGTGGCTTTTTATTTGGCCGGGAGTTTTGGGAGGCTAATGCCCAGACCAGTGAGCTCGCCAAGAAGCAGCTTCTTCTCTTTTTCATAGACTTACAATGCTAAAGGGGAAACTGAGGTAAAACTGGTCATTGTTCATTGGGTGGACATTTGATCCCACAATCTTTGGCTTCATTGATTGGCTAGTTCATATGCAGCACCAGTGGGAACAGGCAGGGGAGGGGGCTTACAGAAACAAGACAAAGGCAGTAAATTATTAGTTGACAGAGGTATTTCCAGGAGGGGGCCTGGAGGACGTGACCCAGTGCCTGGCTCCAGCCAGTAACGATACATACATTCTTTGCAACTTTTTTAAGGCTTGTGGATAGCAGAGACACTGGGAACTGAAAAGGGAGTCATCTTCCCAGTCCTTCGGCCTCTTTATGGCCTGGTCAGTGGCATTAGCAAGTCACCTGACCACAGATTCAAGCTTTTTGGTATTTTATCTCTTTTTACCATCCTTCTCATCCAGAGGGAGGAGGTGGAGGCCTTCAGGAGAGAGATGGGGAGGGGGATTCTCCCCTCTCAATTTAAAGTGGCAAAAACAGGGAGAATTAGTGTGCATGTGTTGGTCATACAGAAGTTACCACAGTGGCTGTCAGAATAAGGTAGGCCAGAAGTAAACATTACAAGATTGGCTTCACTTCTGTGGGATGGATTTGGGGTCAGCTGTGGCAGGACTGGGTAAGAAAATAAAAGCAAATAATAAATAAAATGGCAAAAGCAAAATTTTTAAAAGATGAAATACAGAAAACTAAGTTTTCTGTATTTGGAACTTGGAAACATTCCTGAGACATAGAAATAAAAAAGCATGTCATGTTCTTGGATAAAAGCTATTATCCTAAATGGGTTAATTCTTCCTAAACTAATCCATGAAGTAAAGATAATCTCAACAAATGTACCACACCATAGGTATGGTGAGGCCTAGAGAAGCTGATTCCAAATTCCATACAGAAATGTTAAACAAGTAAGAGAGTAAGAGTAGCCAGGAAATAATGAGGACAGACTAGCTCAGTCAAATATAATAATCAGAGCACTGACGTAAAACACCAAAGAAATTACAAGAGCTAGTTTCCTTAGTATGTAAAGTGGCTTTACAAATCAAAGTAAAAGACCAAGAGCCCCTTTGCTATTTAAAAAAAAAAGTAGGTAAAGACAGAATCTCTGGGACACACTAAAGCATTTTAAGAGGAAAATTGATAGCACTAAATGTCCACATCAAAAAGTCAGAAAAAGTATGAGTAAGAGATAATTTCTGAGATTAGCAGAGACCCCAGGCACTTGTAACAATTTTGGCTTATTTATATATGTTTAAGTTGCTTTGTAATGTGCAGACTTTTCCAAAAATTATTATATATTGAGGACATAAAAGATTAGGGGAATACATCCAGTCCACCATAACTGTGTCACTGCTTTGACCTCTTCAGAGTTAGGGTATCTACCACTGGAAAACTGCTATAAAGTGGAAATCTATGAATTTCTGTTAAGCAGCTAAAAGTGCCTCTAGTATCCTCTAGGGTGATGAAAGTGATGTTGAAAGTGACTTGCATAATGACTCTAACTTAATGGAAATGACTGGTTCTTCAACACGTAGGACATCTGGGGACTCCCGGACATAATCAGTGGAGTTTTCTCAGGAACAGGAAGACTTCTAAGCATAATGAACTAATGAATTTTTATGATTGAGTGTATTGTGACATGATTACATTTTCCTGAAACAAATCTTAACATATTCTATTTCTGCATAGCCATGTACTTTTCATATGAACAATTAATGAACATAAAATAATTCCAATTTTTTTTAAGGTTAGGTTAATAGAGCTTTCTAGGTCATTTGAAACTTTTTAAAATTTTTAACTTAGGTACTTCATTATTAACTGATCTTCAAAGATCTGGCGAAAACTTCTTCAAGATAACGGAGTGTGGAGAATGCATTAATTATACTGCTACCAGAGACACAACATGCCTTTCTTTTCTCATGAGCCTTCTTTTAAAGAATTCCTGCCCTGTGCTTCTCACAGGTATTAAAAATTTTTAATAGAAGGAGAATTTCACATTTAGAAAAATGTTTACAGATATTTTGTAAGTGGGAAAAAATAAGCCCTGAAAAGTTTTGCTTACTGTATTAATTTATATTCTTACCAGCAGTTTATGAACACCTATTTTTCCACATATTTGCAAAATAGGACATTATAAATCTTTCTCATCTCTTCATTACCTTCAGGAGAAATTCCAGAAGTAGAGCTATTGTATTATGTTTGGCCTCTGTAGCCTGTGGGCTGAGGTTCTTCTTGGTAACATTGATTGGTTTACTTAAATTTACATACTCGGTGGGATTCCCCAACCCAATATTAAGATTTTTCTATCTTTTACCGTTATCAAAAAAGTAATTTAATACAACTCTTACTCTCTTTTAAGCATATTTCAACCTATCAATGACCTTTTTCCAATTCTCTAACTTGTGTTGCATAGCACCAAAGGCAATAGTATCATTTTTCCAGTTCCATATTCAAAGAATTCAGGCAATGTAATTCTCAGATAACACATACCTTGCCTCTAATTTTGTCTAAGAAAATTCTTATCAGCCGGGCATGGTGGCTCACGCCTGTAATCCCAGCACTTTGGGAGGCCAAGGCAGGCAAATCACCTAAGGTTGGGAGATTGAGACCAGCCTGACCAGCATGGAGAAACATCATTTCTACTAAAAAAATAAAAAATAAAAAAATTAGCCAGACGTGGTGGTGCATGCCTGTAATCCCAGCTACTCGGAACGCTGAGGCAGGAGAATCACTTGAACCCGGGAAGCGGAGGTTGTAGTGAGCCAAGATCACGCCATTGCACTCCAGCCTGGGCAACAAGAGTGAAACTCCATCTCAAAAAAAATCCCTATCTTTATTTTAATACTTAATAAGTTGTAAAATCATTACAGAGTCCCTACTCTGCTTCAACAAAAAGTTTATCATCATATTTCTTCCTCAAATTGTGTTGGCAGAAATTTTTAAGGAATTATGTTTCATGTTGTAGTTCTTTTGTAAGAGACGTAAATAATTCAAACAATTTGAAAGTGTTTTATATTAACTTCCTGATTTAACCACTCTTAACCACTTTTTTTTAAAAAGGGAAGAACAAAAACACATTTTTTTGGAATTTGCAATAGAGGGAAAATGTTATTGGTTCATTTTAATATGTTAACCTGTATCATTCTCTTGCATATATATCTAACCTTATGTATTTTGTTCCCTTAGGAGAATCTGGTGTTGGGAAAACTGCCACTATTAATCAAATGCTTGAAAAGTTAGAGGGTCCAGGACCATTTGACATAAAATATGGTTCAATTTTAGGAGATGTCCTATTATATAATGAAATTAAAAAATCAAGGTTGTATATATTAACTTCTAAATTTGATTTGTCTGATTTTAAAAAGTGTATTTTAATATATAAATGTGCCTATTTTTAAAAAGCAAATCTTTTATGTAAAAATGCAGAATCATTCAAAAGAGGAGATAAGAAGAAAATCCTTTTTGTCCTAATTTCTCTTTTATTTTTTCAATTTAAGTTTTTATTTTTAATTGACAAACAATAATTGTATATGTTTATGGGGTACAATGTGATGTTTTGATTTACATGCACATTGAGAAATGATTATATCATCTAATTAGCATACCAATACCTCACATACTTATGATTTTTGTAATGAGAACAATTAAAATCTATTTTAGGAATTTTGAAATATTTAACACATTGTTAACTATGGCCACCATGCTGTAAAATAGATGTCAAATTCATATTCTTCCTGTCTAACTGAAACTTTGTACCCTTTGACCAACATCTCCCCATTCCTTCCCACCTCACCCCTAGCCCCTGGCAACTAGTCTACTGTCTGCTTCTATGAGTTAGACTTGTTTAGCATCCACATATAAATGAGACTATATAGTATTTGTCTTTCTGTGCCTGGCTTATTTCACTAGCATAATGTCCTCCAAGTTCATCCATGTAGTTACGAATGACAGAATTTTCTTCTTTTTAGAGACTGAATAGAATTCCATTGTATATATAATGGAATATATATGTATGTATGTATGTGTATATATATATATGCACCACATTTAAAACATCCATTCAAATGACAGGATTTCCTTCTTTTCAAAGACTGAATACTATCCCATTATATATATATACCACATTTTAAAAATCCATTTAGGTGGGCACAGTGTCTCATGCCTGTAATCCCAGCACTTTAGGAGGGAGAGGCAGGTGGATCACCTGAGGTCAGGAGTCTGAGACCAGCCTGGCCAACATGGTGAAACCCCATCTCCACTAAAAATACAAAAAATTATCTGGGCATGGTGGCAGACACCTGTAATCCCAGCTACTCGGGAGACTGAGTCAGGAGAATTGCTTGAACTTGGGTGGTGGAGGTTACAATGAGCTGAGATTGCGCCATTACACACCAACCTGGGCAACAGAGCAAGACTCTGTCTCAAAAAAAAAAAAAAAAAGATCCATTCAGCCATTGAACACTTAGGTTGAGCCCGTATCTTATCTGTTGTGAATAATGCTGCAATGAGCATGGGAGTGCAGATATCTCTTTGACATACTGATTTCAATTCTTTTGTTTATATCCCCAGAAGTGGGTTTGTTGGATCATATGGTAATTCTACTTTGAGTTTTTTGAGGAACTTCTATATTGTTTTCCATAATGGCTGTACTAATTTACATTCCCACCAACCATGTACAAGGGTTCATTTTTCTCTACATCCTCGCCAACACTTGTGTTTTTGATAGTAGCCATTCTAACAGATATGAAGTGATACTCTGTCTCATTGTGATTTTAATTTGCATTTCCCGATGATTAATGATGGTGAACACTTTTTCATAAAACTATTGGCTGTTTGAAATGTCTATTTAAGTCCTTTGCCCACTTTTTAATCAGGTTGTTTGTTCTCCTGCTCTATTTAGTGGTTGTAGTTTCTTATGTATTTTGGATACTAACCCTTTTTTAGATAAATGGTTTGAAAATATTTTCTCCCATTCCATAGGTTGTCTCTTTGCTCTGTTGCTTCTTTTAATGTCCAGAAGCTTTTTAATTTGATGTAATCCCATTTGATTATTTTTGCTTTTGTTGACTGTTTTGGGGGTATATGCATAAAAAAATTGTCCAGACAAATATCATGGACCTTTCTCCCTGTCTTTTCTTTTAGCTGGTTTTACAGTTTCAGGTGTTACATGTAAGCATTTAATCTACTTTGATTTTTATGTGGTATGAGATAAGAGTCCAATGTCATTTTTCTGCATGTTTGTATCCAGTTTTCTCAACACCATTCATTGAAGAGACTGTCCTTTCCCCATTGTGTGTTCTTGCCACCGTTATCAAAAATCAATTGATTGTAAATGTGTGGGTTTATTTCTGTGCCCTCTATCCTGTTTTATTGGTCAATATGTTGGTTATTATGCCAATGCCATGTTGTTTTGATTACTGTAGCTTTGTAGTATGTTTTGAAATCAGGTAGTGTGATGCTTCAAGGTTCCTTTTTTTCCCCCTCAAGATTGCTTTGGCTATTTGGGATCTTTTGTGGTTCCATTGGCAATATAAAAAATGATGTTGGAATTTTGGCAGAGATTGCATTGAATCTGTAGCTCACTTTGGGTAGTATGGATATTTTAGCAATATTAATGTTTTCAATCCATGAACATAGGCTATCTTTCCACTTATTTGTGTCTTCTTAAATTTATTTCATCAACGTTTTATAGTTTTCATTGAATTCGGTTTTGTTTTGAGGATTTTTGCATCTATGTTCATCAGGGATATTGGTTTGTAATTGTCTAATCTTGTAATGTTCTTTTCTGGCTTTGGAATTAGGATAATCCTGGCCTTGTGAAATGAGTTTGGCAGTATTCCCTCCACGTCAGTGTTGTGGAAGAGTTTGAGAAGGAGTGGTATTAGTTCCCCTTTAAATAAATGGTAGAATTCAGCATAAAACCATCCAGTTCAGCACTTTGGGAGGCTGACGTGGGTGGGTCAAGAGGTCAGGAGATCGAGACCATCCTGGCCAACATGGTGAAACCCTGTCTCTACTAAAAATACAGAAAACTAGCCAGGCATGGTGTCGCATGCCTGTCTTCCCAGGTACTTAGGAGGCTGAGGCAGGGGAATTGCTTGAACCTGGGAAGCAGAGGTTGCAGTGAGCTGAGATCATGCCACTGCACTCCAGCCTAGTGACAGAATGAGACTGTGTCTCAAAAAATGAAACAAAACAAAAATCCAGTTATCGGTTTTTCTTGAATGGGACACTTTATTACTGATTCAATCTCTTTACCATGATCAGCCATTCCTATTTTCTATTTAGAAGAAAATATTTACTTTTCCAAAGTATTAACAACTAGATTCAGTCCTTTAAATGAGAAATTTTGTCCATGGTCATACCACCCTGAAAGGGCCCAATCTTGTCTAAATGAGAAATTCTTACATTTATTTTTTAAATAATCACATTTTAAATCTTTTTTTTTTTTTGGATGTCTGTTCTCTCTTCACATATATCTTGAATTCCTCTACTTCGCCTTTTCCAGTGCCTGTTTTAGTCAAAGCCACCATCATCTATGTCTTACACTAATGATTTTGGAATAGAATCCTACTACACATAAATAACATAAAGGGCAGCTATAAACTATTTACCTTCTGGGAAAATGCACCTAAAACATACAAATAAAGTTTTGCATAATATTGGTTTTTGTTCCTTAGAAATATATGGCCTTCTTATCAATGTAAACATACTCTATTCTTTTGAGAAGTAGCTATTCATGTCATCTGCCCACTTTTTAATGAGTTCTTTTTTCTTGCTGATTTGTTTGAGTTCCTTGTAGATTCTGGATATTAGTCCTTTGTCAGATGCATAGTTTGCAAACATTGTCTCCCATTCTATAGGTTGTCTGTGTACTCTGTTTATTATTTCTTTTGCTGTACAGAAACTTCTTAGTTTAATTAGGTTCCATTTATTTATTTTTGTTTTTGTTGCATTTGCCTCTGGTGTTTTAGTCATTAATTCTTTGCCTAGGCCAATGTCCACAGGAGTTTTTCCTAGGTTTTTTTTTTCTAGAATTCTTATGGTTTCAGGTCTTACATTCAAGTCTTTCATCTATCTTGAGATGATTTTTGTACACGGTGAGAGATAAGAATACAGTTTCATTCTTCTACATGTGGCTATCCAATTTCCCCAGTGTATGTTTTTGTCTGATTTGTCAAAGATCAGTTGGTTATAAGTATTTGGCTTTATTTTTGGGTTCTCTGTTTTGTTCTATTGATCTATGTGTCTACTTTTGTACCAGTACAGCCCTGTTTTGATACTGTAGCCTTGTTGTATAATTTGAAGTTGGGTAATGTGATGCCTCTAGGTGTGTTCTTTTTGCTTGGGATTGCTTTGGCTATTTAGTCTGTCTTTGGTTCCATATAAGTTTTCGTATTTTTAATTCTGTGAAAAATGACATTGATATTTTTATAAGAATTACATTAAATATGTTGATTGCTTTGGGCAGTATGGTCATCAAATGTTAAAATGCCCTTGACAAATAACTTTGTCTCTGTCATTCTGTTTCTTCCTGAAGAAAATAACAAAAATAAATATACTTTATGAAATAAAACTAAAAATTTTTAAGTTCCTAAGACTGTTAAAATATTAGAGAAGACTAGTATTGTTTGAATTACATAAGAAGATGGAATTGTGGAGATACACATATCAGACTTTTCCTCTAATCATTAGATGCATATATCCTACTATGTCATATATATATACTTGGATATCTTATAAACATTTCAAACTTAACATACCCAAACCATAACTCTTGATTTCTCTTCCAAACCTATCCTTCCTCTAGTGCTTCTTATTTCAATAAATGAGACCCAGTTATTCAAGCCCAAGACCTAGGAATTATCTTTGAATTCCCCCCTTTCCTCTCACCAATCTATCTCTTGTAGATCATCTAATTCTTCCCAATCCCTAGGTCCCCATTTTTGCCCTGCCCTACATCTAATATTCTACTAGTCAAGTCTGTTCTCTCTTCACATATATCTTGAATTCCTCTACTTCACCTTTTCCAATGCCTGTTGTAGTCCAAGCCACCATCATCTATGTCTTACACTAATGATATTGCAATAGAATCCTACTACACATAAATAAGGACTTAAACATTTGAGAAACAATTTTGAAACGTTTAATACAATAGGAATCATTCTTTTTCTAAGAATCATAAATAATGGAGACTGGAAAAAAGTAAGTTTTACTCTATACTCAATATATAAGCTGAAGTGAGTTTTAACACTAGAGAAAGACAACTATTTTTTATCAAATATAAGAAAAACACCTAGAAACAAGACCAAAATAAGGTGAATGGGTCTTTGCTGAGTGATCCATAAAGCAAAATATATTTTTTAAAGGGACAGGTGAGGTAATGCCTTACTATCCAAAGAAAAATATCCAACAGTCTGGCATCCTAGGAGTTTGCCCAGTTCATTTTATAAAGTAAGTTTATATTTTGTTCAGTTTGGTATCAGTTCTAATGGTGACACTAATTTTATCTGTAAAAGTGGAAACAGAAAAATATATATTTTCCTGTAGAGATAGAAGTAAAATTCACAACATGCTGTTACTTTTTTGTTGTTCTTTAATACAACTATTATGGTAAATAAACTAATTTTGAATCCTTAAAATCTTTCATTCCAGTAGCCTAAAACAGAATATCAGCATCTTGATACCTGAAACTCATAAGACATTAACTGGAAGTTCAGGTATGTATTGTAGTACAGCTTCAAAGCGATACTATGTTTTTAAACTTCACAACCATGTGTATATTGTTTCTTACATTTAGAAATCTCAGAATAAAAATTTCAATTGGTAATTTAAAATAAAAAACCCCATACCCTCTCATACTGTTCTGTCCTACTCAAAAGTTAGAATGGTTCTGGTAGAGAAGTATTACATCTGCTGATATAATAGGTATATTAGCTGATACCTAGCTGATATGTTAGTGGAACCATAGACTAAGTCTAGAAGTAAACACGGGTGGTATCTGTCTATTCTATTCTTTCATGCTTTTAGACACAGTGCAATAGAAAAGGTATGATTCTGTAGGACTTCTCAAATCAGGCTATGCAATAGAAACATGTGGAGTTTTAGGAGTCTCATCCTTGAAAATTCTGACTCAGTAGTTTTGGGAACAGCGACTCCATTTCTCAAGGGGAAAAGATGGGATGGCCTAGAGACAGCTGAGAAAGGTAAAGGATTCCAGTTCACCAAATTCTTGCCAGAAGAGGTTTTGGTTTCGTTTTCACTTTTAAGTTGCCATAGCTGTAGCCTACCAATAACCCTCTGGATGATCATCACTCAGGGAATATACCCTAATTATAATGCCATTGGTGCAGACAGCTGCATGTTGCTTTTAGGTCTTAAAAAGTTGTATGTGTCTATCATGTATAAATGTATGGAGGACTCTTTGGGCTTTTGTGCTGTTGCATTTTGTTGCAAAGAGATTCTGTTTACCATAAAACAGCAAAGAAATACTCCAAAGTTCTATCAGAGTGATTTCTTGAAAACGACAACAAAATAGTAAAATTATGTAATTTTCAAACTTCATGGCACATTAAAATAAACCAAAAATATTCTTAAAGTGTTCTAAATTTTTTTCTTTCCATATTTGGCATCATAGATAATCCCACAAAAAAGCCAGAAGTTAGGACTGATAAAAGATTATCTAAAAATAATGATCATAAAGGAATTGTAGTCTCTACAATAAATTTTAGTACCAATATGACAGCAGCCAAAACCAAGGAGATGATTCTTAAGAAGTTGGTAAGAAGAACTAAAGATACTCTTGGAGCACCAAAAAACAACAGGGTAAAACACCTCTAACACCTGTTCAATAATCTGCTTAGGCTATTCAAGTGGTAATTTATTTTAATTAATACTAATCAGAAGAAAAATGTTTGTATAGCACACACTCCTGACCATCCTAGAAATGCAATGTATAACAGAAACTTTGATTTCTAACATGTTGAATTACACTGATTCAGAATTATTAAGGCCAAAAGAAGCTACTGAAATATTGCTGAAGATAAGTAGACTGGAAAATAGGTTAGTTGCCAACTGCTTTTCTACTATATATTCTACCACATTTTCTTCCTGTGACCGAGGCTTGGGACTCTTAAGAATTTCAATTCAATTTCAAGAGCTTTTAAGGGTTTGCTTTAGATTAACTTGATTTTAACTGAAGATACAGATAAACTTGGTCTTTGCTTGCGTGGATAAACTTTAGGAATTTTAAAAGAGTGAATAACTGAGCAACCAATCACACCAATAGAAAATTCAAGCAAGAGAAATTTCAGTCAGTTTGTGATATGAAGGGGAGAAATGAGTGTCTTGCTAAAAAAAATTGTATTGACAGTTACAAATTAGGTAATTAGGTAATTCAAAACAAATGTTGATTTGTGAATTTTTTACGTTGCTTGTTTAGCCAAAATAAATACAATCTAAAAAAGCTAGTGCACACAGATTACAATCAGTACACTTCAGTGCACAATATTTTCAAAGGTATACATTAACACAAGTTTAAAAATTGGAGATGTGTCTGAATTTTCTGCTTGTTGTTCATGACAACAGCATTTGCAGCAGAATTTTTAAGTCTAGTTCCGGATGATAGCCTTATTCCTAAACCAGGGGGTGCATGTGAAATAAACAACTAAATACCTACCAATAAGTGCCTTCCCAATAGTAGGCACTCAGTAAGTAAATCCTGAATGAATGATAGCCATGATCCTGTGTAATAGCCATAATTATGTAACTTTATCCAGCACCAAATACATTTCTAACCATTATCAGACAATTATTGTAGCTCTATAGAAGGTCAATAGAGTGTCTGCTATTTTGAAAATTCATTGTTTTTAAAAACCGTATCTTCCAAATAGAATTTGGTCTGCTGTTTTTAAATAGGAAAACAGACATGTTATTACATAAAATTTTGTGCTTACTCCATAGCATAATATTCCTAATTCATAATTTAAAGAAATACTAATTTATATGTTTAAAACCTTTTATCTTTCTTAAGACTATAATATTTATTGATGATATGAATATGCCAGCATCAGATATGTATGGAGCACAACCACCCCTGGAATTGATAAGACAGTTGTTAGATTTGGGAGGGGTTTATGATACTGAAAAAAATACATGGAAGGTACAGTATATACTAAGATTTTGTTCCTATTACATGTTGTTTCTTACACTAAATTAAATGTTTATAACAATGTTGAGTCATTAAGTGAGAAAGTTAGAAATTCTGGCCATATGAACATATTAAGCAAAGTTGAGACCCTAAACTAACTATATTAATTATATCTTTGCAATGTAAGTCCCTAAACTAACTATATTAATTATATCTTTGTAATGTAAGTCCACTGGATTTATAGAAATCCTACTTCTAATTGTTTTAAATCTTAATAAAAATTGCATGTATGTCCTCGAAATTTGGTTTCTTTTTTTTTTTTTTTTTTTTTTCAGTTTAAGTTCTGGGGTACATGTGCAGACCTTGCAGGATTGTTACATAGGTACACACATGCCATGGTGGTTTGCTGCCTCCATCCCACTGTCACCTACATTAAGTATTTCTCCTAATGTTATCCCTCCCCAATTTCCCCACCCCCTGCTATCCCTCCCCTAAACCCCCACCCCCCAACAGACACCAGTGTGTGATGTTCCCCTCCCTGTGTCCACGTGTTCTCATTGTTCAACACCCACTTATGAATGAGAACATGCAGTGTTTGGTTTTCTGTTCTTGTGTCAGTTTACTGAGAATGATTTTCCAGATTCATCCATGTCCCTGCAAAGGACATGAACTTACCCTTTTTTAAGGCTGCATAGTATGCAATGGTATATATGCGCCACACTTTCCTTATCCAGTCTATCTTTGATGGGCATTGGGGTTGGCTCCAAGTCTTTGCTATTGTAAGCAGTGCTGCAGTGAACACACATGTGCATGTGTCTTTATAATAGAATGATTTATAATCCTTTGGGTATATACCCAGTAATGGGATTGCTAGGTCAAATGGTATTTCTAGTTCTAGATCCTTGAGGAATTGCCATACTGTCTTCCAAATGGTTGAACTAATTTACACTCCCACCAACAGTATAAAAGCGTGCCTATTTGTACATATCCTCTCCAGTGTCTGTTGTCTCCAGATTTTTTAATGATTGCCATTCTAACTGGCATGAGATAGTATCTCATTGTGGTTTTGATTTGCATTTCTCTAATGACCAGTGATGATGAGCGTTTTTTCACGTTTGTTAGGCACATAAATGTCTTCTTTTGAAATCTGTCTGTCCATATCTTTTGCCCACTTTTTGATGGGGTTGTTTTTTTTTTTTTTCTTGTAAATTTGTTTTACTTCTTTGTAGATTCTGGATATTAGCCTTTTGTCAGGTGGATAGCATGCAAATTTTTTTTCCCATTCTGCTGTTTGCCGGTTCACTCTAATGATTGTTTCTTTTGCTATACAGAAGCTCTTTAGTTAAATTAGATCCCATTTGTCTATTACGGCTTTTGTTGCCATTGCTTTTGGGGTTTTAGTCATGAAGTCCTTGCCCATTCCTATATCCTGAATGGTATTGCCTAGGTTTCCTTCTAGGGTTTTTATGGTGTTAGGTATTATGTTTAAATATTTAATCCATCTTGAGTTAATTTTGTATAAGGAAGGAATCCAGTTTCAGCTTTCTGCACATGACCAGCCAGTTTTCCCAACACCATTTATTAAATAGGGAATCCTTTCCCCATTGCTTGTTTTTGTCAGGTTTGTCAAAAATCAGATGGCTGTAGGTGTGTGGCATTACTTCCGAGTCCTCTGTTCTGTTCCATTGCTCTATATCTCTGTTTTGGTACCTGTTCCATGCTGTTTTGATTACTGTAGCCTTGTAGTATAGTTTGAAGTCAGGGAGCACGATGCCTCCAGCTTTGTTCTTTTTGCTTAGGTTTGTCTTGGCTGTGTGAGCTCTCTTTTGGTTCCATTTGAAGTTTAAAGTGGTTTTTTCCAGTTCTGTGAAGAAGGTCAATGTTGGTTTGATGGAGATAGCATTGAATCTATAAATTAATTTGGACAGTATGGTCATTTTCATGGTATTGATTCTTTCTAACCATGAGCATGGAATCTTTTTCCACGTGTTTGTGTCCTCTCTTATTTCCTTGAGCAGTGGTTTGTAGTTCTCCTTGAAGAGGTCCTTCACGTTCTTTGTTAGTTGTGTTCCTAGATATTTTACTCTCTTTGTAGCAATTGTGAATGGAAGCTCGCTCATGATTTGTTTCTCTGTTTGTCTGTTATTGGTGTATAAGAATGCTTGTGATTTTTGCACATTGATTTTGTATCCTGAGACTTTGCTGAAGTTGCTTATCATCTTAAGGAGATTTTGGGCTGAGGTGATGGGGTCTTCTAAATATACAATCATGTCATCTGCAAATAGAAACAATTTGAGTTTCTCTTTTCCTAATTGAATACCCTTTATTTCTTTTTCTTGCCTGATTGCTCTGGCTAGAACTTCCAATAGTATATTGAATGGGAATGGTGAGAGAGGGCATCCTTGTCTAGTGCCAGTTTTCAAAGGGAATGCTTCCAGTTTTTGCCCATTCAGTATGATATTGGCTATGGATTTGTCATAAATAACTTTTATTATTTTGAGATACATTTCATCAATAACTAGTTTATTAAGAGTTTTTAACATAAAGGGCTGTTGAATTTTGTCAAAGGCCTTCTCTGCATGTATAGAGACAATCGTGGTTTTTGTCTTTGGTTCTGTTTATGTGATGGATTACATTTATAGATTTGTGTATGTTGAACCAGCCTTGAATCCCCAGATGAAGCCTACTTGATCATGATGGATAAGCTTTTTGATATGCTGTTGCATTCAGTTTGCTAGTATTTTATTGGAAATTTTTGCGTGGATGTTCATAATGGACATTGGCCTGAAATTTTCTTTTTTAGTTGGATCTCTGCCAGGTTTTGGTATCAGGATGATGTTGATCTCATAAAAAGAGTTAGGGAGGACTCTCTTTTTGTATTGTTTGGAATAATTTCAGAAGGATTGGTACCAGCTCCTCTTTGTATGTCTGGTAGAATTCGGCTGTGAACCCATCTGGACTAGGACTTGTTTTGTTGGTAGGCTATTAATTGCTGGCTCTACTTCACACCTTGTTATTGGTCTATTCAGGGATTCAACTTCTTCCCGGTTTAGTCTTGGGAGGGTATGAGTGCCCAGGAATTTATCCATTTCTTATAGATTTACTGGTTTATGTGCATAGAGTTGTTTGAAGTAATCTCTGATAGTAGTTTCTGTTTCTGTGGAATCAGTAGTGATATCACCTTTATCATTTTTTATTGCATCTATTCAATTCTTCTCTTTTCTTTTTTATTAGTCTGGCTAGCAGTCTATTTTGTTGATCTTTAAAAAAAAAAACAGCTTCTGGATTTATTGATTTTTTTGTGTCTCTGTCTCCTTCAGTTCTGCTGTGATCTTGGTTATTTCTTGTCTTCTGCTAGCTTTTGAATTTGTTTGGAGATTTGGTTTCTGAGTCAAATAATGCTCATTATTGTTAACTGAATCCGTAGCTAATCAATTTTTTCAATGCTTCAAATTTTAGTTAGTTGTGAGAAAAGCCAGTGAAAATGTGCACCCCCGATACATCTTTAATGTCTATATAAGACTACTCTACATCTTTATCTCAAGACCATAGATCCAGCATTTTCAGAAATGTCACAGTCAAAAAAAATTTCTGTGCAATTATTTTTGTTGCATTGAACCTAAATCAGAATGGCTTACTTTTTAAAATATATATGTGTATATGTGTGTGTGTGTGTGTGTGTGTGTGTGTGTCTGTGTGTGTGTATCCAAATGCATTTTTCTCACTGGGTCCTTCTCTGGAAATCACAAGCCCTGTATTTCAGAACTGACTGCCACTTAAACATTCTAGGCCTCAGATTTCTCATCTATAAAATTAGGTGGTTGCCTTACAAATGATTTCATATCTCAGACAAACTTGGGCCCAGGATCCTACATGAGGCAAACTGGCTTGTGAGTGCCATCAGGTCAGATGTCAGTCTCAAGCAACCTTCAAGCCAAGGCAGAGAGGAAGAGTTCAGGTGCAGCCCAACAGGGAGAATCCAGGAGACTGAAAAAAAGAGAAATGGGGTCTGGAATGCACAGCTTGGACAAGTTCCCTGAACTGACCAGAAAATAGTCACAGCAGGCCTTTTATGGGATTTCTCTGGTCTTGAGCATGGGTATAAGCAGGAACAAAGCCTGGCCATTCTATTGGCTCCTCTGATTTCTCACTTATCACCAGAAGCCTCTTTCCTAACCTCAATAACATACTGCTTATTTTTCAATGATTGTTCAAGGACTATTTCCTGATGACATTTAGAAAGTCTTCAAGAAGTAACATATCTTGAAATTATATTTTAGGATGGATTACTTCTAAGAAGATAGATTTCTATTACTGCTGTAATCTGTTTTTGCAATAAATAGTAATTATAATCTTTTTGTCTAAATGTTTTTAAATGTTTTGTCTAATTTGGGAGAGAGATGTAGGTACATACTTCACTTCCTACAGATGCATTCAGTTACTCTTCCTTTTTTATTATTCTCACAGAATATTCAAGATCTGTCTATAGTTGCAGCTTGTGTTCCAGTTGTGAATGATATCAACCCACGTCTTCTCAAACATTTTTCCATGCTGGTATTACCTCATCCTTCACAAGATGTCTTATATACTATTTTCCAGGTAACACATCTAGTTTATTTTCTACTGAAAAAAAAAAAAAAATTCCCTAGAATAAGGAAAAATATGAGAACTTAAATCCATTAATATTGAAAGAAAGTTACTTTAAGGGGTTGGATTTTATTTCCCCCCATGTTTTCTGGCCTATTATAATTTGGCTCTGCATAACAAAAGCATAAGTTATTGTGTGTAAAATAAATACTTGTGGTACATGTCTAATACATGTTAAAATATAGATCCCAGTACTTTATTCTCAGAGATTCTGATCCAGTATATCTGGCATGACGTGCAGGAATCTGCATTTTTAATATACACACGCTGATTCTTGCCAGAATTGATTTGCTCTTTTCATTTTCTTATGGAATAAAAAATGCTACACAAACTATTACCTTGGTATGCAATTGGCATACATGTAGACTTTCTTCTAAAACAGGATTTTTTTTCATGTGTGAACCATTGATCACCTGTATTAGAATTACCAAGTGCTTTTTGAAAACTTGAGTTTTAAAATGAATCTTTAAATTTTATATTTAAGAAGAAAACAAGATTCTTTTTGAAGCATTTTGTAAAGGTGCTTAAGATTTATTTTTCTAGTCACACTAGATTTCATCATCTTTCCAATAAGATATTTCAGTTTTTTTAGTTTAGTCATCTTTCCAGTAAGGTATTTCAGAATTTTTCAAAGAATGTATAGCTGTATAACCAGAGAAAATGTATCACATTCCTTTAGACCATTAGCCATAGTAGGACCAATTGGAATTTTCTCCAGTTTGCAACCCCTACAGTGTTTTGTTTTATTTTGTCTAATCCACCATCCTATGTTAAATTGATTTTAATGTTAACATTTCTAATAAAATTAATTCTCCATTATAGTACACAAGTCTGCTTTTTAGTAGAAGGTAGCCAGAAGTAGTCTGTACTTAAAATTTTTGGCAAACTAAATTGTGACATATCTTTTTAAAGGCTCATTTGGGAATTTATTTCTCCATCAATAACTTCATACCTGAAGTTCAGAAAAGCAAGGATCAGATAATATCTTGTTCCATAGCTATATACCATCAAGTACGTCAGAATATGTTACCAACTCCAACAAAATGTCACTACATGTTTAATCTTCGAGATATGTTTAAGGTTGGTTTTAATGTTCATTCTCTAGTTTATTTTTAAAATATAAGTTGCTCTCTCTTGTACTGTCAACATTAGATTGTTTGAAGGGAAAAAAAGGGAAACGAATGTTGGTTAGTTTTGCTATTCATTAGCAGCTTATCCCATGAGTTAGTTGAAAAAAAAAATTGTTAAAATAATTTCATGCAAGTAATTCGATGATGAAATACCTAAGAGTGTTAGAATATTGGCTAAGATGCTTAGCAGGGAAAGAAGTAGCAAAATTACAACATAGATTTGGGGTTTGCTTTATTTCTGAGATTTTATTGTGGCTGTCAGAAAATGAAAGCATGTATGCATTTCATAAACATGCTTGAATTTTCACAGATTCTGCCTACAGTGCTGACTCAGTTATCAACCATGGTCAAATAATTTTCAAAATTGAAATGTTAAGAGAACCAGTTCTTGAATTTGATATCTTTCTTCCCTGACTCCAGAACTTTAGCCCTAAATAGCACATGTAATCTGTGAAATGAGCTGTAACATTTTTAATCCAAATTTAGAATGCAGAAACATACTAACATTAGGAAACACCTCAATATCACTTGCAACACCCTGTTTCCATGTCAGCATTGCAGTTGAGACTCTCATCCTGGCAAGGCCTCCATTAGATGTGGCTGAGGAGTCCCCAAATCCCCCTCCCTCTAAGAGTGATTCCACACCAATTTTCCCGTTCATCAAAACTTCAAATTATCACTTGTAGAAATTCGTAATTCTTACCTTGGATAATTGTTTCTATTGTTCTGGATCATAAACCTGCAAAAATTGAGCCTTTGCTTCACATACTACCCTGCTAATGTTTTAAAAAAAAGAAATGTTGTTTTTAAATCCCTAACAGCTTCTCCTAGGATTGCTGCAAGCTGACAGGACTGTTATTAACTCCAAAGAGATGGCTGCTCGCCTGTTTGTTCATGAAGCCACCCGAGTATTTCACGATCGCTTAATTGATTTCACTGATAAAAGCCTTTTCTATAAATTGCTTTCAAAGGAACTTGAGAACTATTTTCAGGTCAATTTATATTTTTAAAATTATTTTAAGTGGATTATTGGGCAAAAATGTTGTTTTATGAATTTATGTAATACTGAAAGAAATTACATGTGCTATACTTTTATACAACTGGCAGCACGGTAGGTTTGTTTACACCAGCATCACCACACACACATGAGTAATGCATTGTGCTACAACATCAAGACAGCTAGATGTCACTAGGGGATAGGAATTTTTTAGCTCCATTATAAACTTATGGGACCACTGTTGAGCTCAAGTGAGATATGGTTGTTTAAAAAGGAACTTGGCACCTCCTCTTCTCTCTATCTTGCTCCCTCTCTCACTGTGACATACTGGCTCCTCTTTGCCTTCCACCATGATTGTAAGCTTTCTGAGGCCCTCACTGGAAGCAGATGTTGACACTGTGTTTTGTGTATAGCCTGCAGAATCATGAGCCAAATAAACCTCTTTTCCTTATAAAGTATCAAATGTCAGGTATTTCTTTATAGCAATGCAAAAACAGACTAACACAGAAACTTGGTACCAAGGAGCGGGGCATTGCTATAAAGATACCTGAAGATGTGGGTACAGTTTTGGAACTGAGTAATGGGCAGAAGTTGGAAAAGTTTGGAGAGCTCAGAAGACAACAGGAAGACAAGGGACAGTTTGGAACTTCTTAGAGACTGGCTAAGTGGTTGCAACCAAAATGCTGATAAAAATATGATCATTGAAGGCCAGGCTGATGAGGTCTCAGATGGAAATGAGGAATGTTTTAGAAACTGAAGCAAAGATCACCATTGTTATGCTTTAGCAAAGAACTTCACTGTATTGTATCCATGTCTCAGTGCTTTGTTGAAGGTTGAACTTCAGAGTGGTTACCTAGGGTGTCCGGCAGAAGAAATCTCTAAGCAACAAAGTATTCAAGAAGTGACATGTCTTCTTTTAACAACCTGCAATCAGATGTGGAAGCAAATAAAAGACTTAAAGTTAGAACTTATATTAAAAAGGAAGTAGATCATAAAAGTTTGGAAAAGTCACAACCTGACCATGTGGTAGAGAGAAGAAAAGAGCATTTTCAGAAAAGGAATGCAAGTGGGCTGTGGAGCAACCTGTGATAGAGAGATTAGCATGATCAAAGGGGGCAAAGTGCTAATAGTCAAGACAATGTGAAAAAAGCCTTGAAGGGATTTCAGAAGTCTTCAGGATAGTCCCTCCCATTACAGACCCAGAGGCCTGAGAGGAAAGAATGGTTTCAGGGCCACACCCAGGATGCCACTGTCCTGTACAGCCTAGGGATGCTGCTTCCAGAATCCCAGCTGTTCCAGTTCTACCCATGCTCAACGAGCCCCAGGTATAGCTCAGACTGCAGTTTCAGAGGGTGTAAGCCATAAGCCTAGGTGGCTTCCACAAGGTGTTAAGTCTGCAGGCACACAGAATTCAAGAGGCTTGGAAGCTTCTACCTAGATTTCAGAGGATGGATGGGAAAGCCTGGATGCCCAGGCAGAAGCCTGCCACAGGGGCAGAGCCCCAAGGTGAAACTTTTCTAGGGCACTGACAAGTGGAAATATGGGTTTGGAGCCCCCACACAGAGTCCCCACAGGGTCATTTCCTAGTGGAGCTTTGGGAATGGGTCTGTAGCCCTGTAGACCCCAGAATGGGAGAGCCACCAGCAGCATGCCACCTCAGTGTTGAAAAGACACAGGCACCGGACTCCAACCCATGAGAGCAGCCACATGGGCTGCACCCAGAGAAGCCATAAAGGTGAGCTGTGCGTGACCTTGAGAACCCACCCCTCATACCAGTGTGCCCAGGATGCAAGATATGAGTCAAGGGAGATTATTGTGGAACTTTAAGATTTAATGTCTGCCCTGCTGGGTTTCAGACTTACATGGGGGGCCTGCTGCCTCTTTCTTTTGGCCAATTTCTCCATTTTAGAATGAGAATGTTTACCCAGTGCCTGTAACATTATTGTACCTCACAAGTAAATACTTGTTTTTTACTTTACAGGCTAATAGATGAAAGGAATTTACTTTGAGTATCAGATGAAACTTTAAACTTTTAACATTAGGACAAGTTGAGATATCTGGGGACTATTAGGAGGGGATGATTGTATTCTGAAATGTGAGAAGAACATGATATTTGGGAGGCCAGGTGTAGAATGACATGGTTTGGATATTTGCCCTTGTTATGGTTTGGCTCTGTGTCCTCACCCAAATCTTACCTTGCATATAATCCCCATAATCCCCACATATCAAGGGTGGGACCAGGCTGAAGTAATTGAGTCATGAAGGTAGTTTCATTCATTCTGTTCTCATGATACTGAGTGAGTCTCACAAGATCTGATGGTTTTATAAGCATCTGGCATTTCCCCTGTATACACTCATTCTCTCTTCTGCCACCCTGTGAAGAGGTGCCTTCACCATGATTGTAAGTTTCCTGAGGCCTCCCCAGCCATGTGGAACTGTCAGTCAATTATACTTCTTTTCTTTATAAATTACCCAATCTCGTGTATTTCTTCATAGCAGCATTCGAACAGACTAACACAATCCCCTCTAAATTTCATGTTGAAATGTAATCCCTAATGTTGGATATGGGGCTAGTTAGGCGGTATTTGGGTCATGGATGTGGATCCCTCATGAATGGCTTGGTGCCCTCTCCACAGCAATGAGTTCACATGAGATCTGCTTGTTTAAAAAGGAGCCTGGCACCTTCTCCTCTCTCTCTTGCTCCCTCTCTCACTATGTGACATGCTGGCCCCCCTTGGTCTTCTACCATGATTGTAACCTTCTTGAGGCTCTCACCAGAAGTAGATGTTGGCACTGCACTTTCTGTGCAGCCTGCAGAACTGTGAGACAAAATAAACCATTTTCCCTTATAAGTTATCCAACATCAGGTATTTCTTTATAGCAACACAAATGGAATAACAAACCCCATAAATACATATAATTTGTCAATTCATAATAAAAATAATTTTAAAAAAATATTTAGCTCATACTTTTTACTTCTTAGTGGACTTTTCCAGCCAATACCACCCCATTTTTAGATTACATGTCCCTTCTTTGTGTTCCCAAAAAACTATGGACTTTCCTGTTATAGAACTTTTTCTAATATAATTGCCTATCTCTTTCTCCAACCTGTGAGTTTCATGAGAATGAAGCTATTGATTTTTAATCTCTTTCTAAGTCCCCAGAATTTAGCATTCTCTTATCCCTAATTGGTGCTTGATAAGTATATCTGGGATTAATGAATAAAAGAATGAAGAATTAAAGAGACTTTCCTAAAATAGTAATCTGAAGAGAGCTTTTTTATCTTTTAAGTTCAGGGGCACATATGCAGGTTTGTTATATAGGTAAACTTCTGCCAAGGGGGTTTATTGTACAGTTTCATCACCCAGGTATTAAACCTACTATCCATTAGTTATTTTTGTGATTCTCTCTCCTTCCTCCTACCCTCCACCCTTCAGTAGGCCCCAGTGTCTGTTCCCCTCTAAGCGTCCATGTGTTCACATTATTTAGCTCCTACTTATAAGTGAGAACATAAGGTATTTGGTTTTCTGTTCCTACATTAGTTTGCTAAGGATAATGGCCTTCAGCTCCATCCATGTTCTTGCAAAGAACATGATCTCATTTTTCTTTTGAGCTCTGTTACCCAGGTTGGCATGCAGTGATGTCATGATCTCAGCTTACTGTAACCTCCACCTCCTAGATTCAAGTGATTCTCCTGCCTCAGTCTCCTGAGTAGCTGGGACTGCATACACCTGCCACCATCCCTGGCTAATTTTTTTTGTATTTTTAGTAGAGATGGAGTTTCACCATGTTGACCAGGCTGGTCTCAAACTCCTGACCTCAGGTGATCCACCTACCTCAGCCCCCCAAAGTGCTGGAATTACAAGTGTGAGCCACCGCATCCAGCCAATCTCATTTTTCTTATGCATACATAGTATTCCCTGGTGTATATGTGCCACATTTTCTTTAAGCAGTCTACCATTTATGGGCATTTAGGTTGATGCCTTGTCTGCTATTGTGAATAATACAGCAATGAACATATCTGTGAGTGTGTCTTTATGATAAAGGAATTTCTATTCCTTTGGATATATACCCACTAAAGGGATTGCTAGGTCAAGCGGTAGTTCTGTTTCTAGAACTTGGAGGACTCACCACACTGTCTTCCATAATGTTTGAACTAATTTAAATTCCCCACCAACAGTGTATAAATGTTCCTTTTTCTCTATATCCTCACCAGCATCTGTTATTTTTTGACTTGTTAACATTAGCCATTCGGACTGGTTTTAGATGGTATCTAATTGTGGTTTTGATTTGCATTTCTTAAAGAGAGCTTATTACTGTCTTGGGAGAAATTCCCAAACTCCCTATATATGCCAACTACAATTCAGTTTTGAGACTTTACCAGACTAAGGAATAGATTTAGAGGCAGTAGGAAATGGCCAAGCAAGTACTTATGGAATCGGGTCCTGCCCTAGCGGACATCGGGTCAACCCTGTGGACAGCAAAAGCAACTACAATACTCCAAATTCAAGACCATATTAACCAAATCTTTCTTAAGGGTGTAAGGATAGAAATTATTTCTGAGAGATTTTTTTTAAAGTCAACTAATCTTAATTGGTCAGTTAGTTGACTTTAAAAAAAAAAAAAAAAAAAACTCTAGTATAATTAATACAATGTACCAAGCACAGTTCTAAGAGTTTTATATATCATTACTCACTTTAATCTTAATTCATAACACCCTTTGACATAGGACCTGTTATTACCCTCATTTTGCAGATAAAGAAACTGAGCAGAGTAAGATTAAGAACTCGCCCAAGGTCACCGTGCTAGTTAAGTGGCACAGTGATTATTCACTAGGATATCTAATGACATATATTCTCGAATTATTGTACCATACCACCCCTCAACCTTCATTTAGCCATTTGCCAAACAAACATCTTCTGAATGCCTATCAAAAATTATCAGTGCCAAATAGCAAGAATAAGAGCTGAGGACTATGTAGGACTAGCATGGACCCTGCCTCCAAGCACATTACAACCTAAGCAGTGCAATACATTTCGGTAAGTGCAATGACAGACCTATGCACGCAATTTAGTGGTGGAAAAAGCAGGAACAAGTAATTTATTCTACCCAATTTTAGGGGAGAGGGAGATAGCCAGACTTCAAAGAAGAGGTAGCCCATGACCTCGGTGTGAAAAATTGGCAAAAGCTTGCAAAGTAGACCAAGAAAAGACATGGAAACTTGCAGAACTGTAGTGGTGAACCAACGGAAGATTCTTTTTCTCAGACTGTTGCTGGAACTAAAGGTATTTCTAGCAACAGGAGTTCTTAACCTGGGATCCACAGACCCTCAAAGGGTTCTTAAATAAAACTATATTCTAACATATTTGGGGTTTTTTTGTAACCCTTGTATTTTGCTATATGCGTTTAAAAATATTATTCTGAGAAAGGGTCCACAGTCTTCACTGCCAAAAGGAGTTTTTAGCACAAAAAAGGTTAAGAACATGTTAGTCCTAGATCTATTGTGCCAGGAGCTTCTCCAACACAGATATATGATTTTAGTTTTAATAACAAGTAGAATTGTGCTATTAACAGATAGTGTTAAATTCTTATCTTACAATAGATTCAGTGGACCGAAGAAACCCTGAAGAAAGACTCAACTGTATTTTTGGACTTCTTGAATACAAACAAGACTCATGGAAAAAAGATTTATCAGAATACCAATGACTATAATAAACTTACCAGTATACTTGATGAATTCCAAATGAAGTTGGGCTCAGCGTCTTTGGAGGTAAATACATACACTATATAAAAATCTGAGGAGTGCTATATATGTATATATTTATTTGTTTTTATATACAGACACATATGTATATCAAATCAATATTTTTAAGGGGTGTGTGTGTTTGTGTGTGAGGGAGAGCTAGAGAGAAAAAGACAGAGGAAGAAATCAGGGAAAAATGTTTACCTTCATATTTTAAAGCAGATCATTAGAAGTACAGTTTTATGTTATTTCATCTTATTTTGTCTCATTTGATAGGGTACAATTTTAAAGACGAGGTGCACAACTGAGGCTATAGGAAGTTGAATGAATAGAGTTAATGAAGATAAATGCAAAACAGAGTGTGGGAACAGGGTCCAAAGTAGCAACAAAGAACAGCAAAGTGGTTGTGGCTCTTTACATCTTTCCCGTTGTCGTGGGCAAAGATGTGCTGGAACAGAGACACCAACAAAATCTCATATACTATAAACCAATTTTCTGCATCTCTTCCTCCTACCACTTCTCCTACCTGCCAAGACAGAATAGAAAAGCAGCCTAGGCCAGGTGTGGTGGCTCATGCCTGTAATCCTAGCACTTTGGGAGACTGAGGCAGGAAGATCACTTGAGGCCAGGAGTTTGAGAACAGCCTGGGCAACATAATGAGACCCTATCTATACACACACACACACACACACACACACACACACACACTTCCACCTTTCTCATCTACTAAGAATAATATTAACATAGAGATAATCCTTATTCTGCAAATTACTTTCCCTAAATGTTAATGAAAACCAGCTTACTAGATGTAGATCTCTGGATTACTAGTTATTCTCTTTTCTGTGAGTAAATTGTATGTAAAACCACAATGCACATTTGAATTTTTTATATCTATAATCCATTGATTTGTCACATTTCCTCTGCTAGCTTTCTCATTCCATGGTGTTCTTCAAGGAAGCCATAGAACACATCACAAGAGCGACAAGGGTCCTTCGACAACCAGGGAGTCACATGTTACTGGTAGGAATTTAAATTTTTCAAGGGGTTTTAAGTTTGCACAATAAAAGAAATCACAATAAAATCTTACAGAAGTTTTATTTAGCCACACTTTGTGAAAAATCACAATAATTGAGTCACAGCACAAGATTCTTGTCCTCTCTATTGTTTGCATATGAAATTTGTCAGCAAATAAAAATAGCATTTGTTTTTGGAAGGCATTTGATGTGAATAAAATTGCACATTTCTAGTATTCTCAGCATGAATACAGCACCTGTGCAGGTGGATCCAGACTTCAAAAATAGTGTGCTTACTTGAATATTGATTTAGAAATGTGAGCTTTTGTACAACATTTTGCCTCTCTTGAGAACAAATGGGAGTTAAAATCTTGGAAAATTCCCAAATATACTTTGAATAGAGAAAAGCTTTTGGAAAACTAAATATATTCAACATATTTAGCCAATTACATAAAGCATATTATTAAATTTGTTATTTATAACTAGTTGTTTATTTTATACTTTATTTATAAATGTTTAGGTATTTAATTTATGCCCCTTTTTTCAAAAAGAACTTTTTTATATTCAGAACAACTAGAGCTTTATTTAAACACTCTTTTATTTAAACAGACCTGTGCAACAAGATAAATTAAAAGGAATTAAAAATTGGAAAATAAAATCAAGAAAAAATATCAAACAAATCTTTCTATCACCAAAACTATTATTTTGCTAACCTGTCTAACTCATAAATAGCATCACCATATTGCCACTGGTCTAGCCAGAAACCTGGATGTCACTCAGTTTTGTCACTTTTTCATCACTTCTCACATTCAATTCATCAATAAGTCCTGGCAATACAACTACCAAAATGTATTTCAAGTCTGTACACTTCCCTGCATCTCCATAGCCACTACCCTATTTAAGCCACCATTATCTCCACCTGGACCACTATGGTTTTCTCTGTTCCCTAATGTACCTTTTCTTCCCCTCAGTCCCTATTACTCTGTCTCCTTATTCTGCTTTATTTTCTTCCTGGTCCTTAGCATTATCTTATATAATATTATACATTAATTTTTCATTTATAATCATCTGTCTCCACATTTAGAACATAAGCTCTACAAGGGCTATGATTTTTGTCTTATTTCAATTATTAGCATATTATTTTTCTATTCCTAAAGTATATACGCTTTCAGTTTAGTTATTTTACCACAAAGTGACTCTTTTCTTTAGCATGTCTTTTATAACAAGTTCTCAATTCTAAAATGCCTGAGAATGTATTCAGAGCAATTTTCAAAAGCCTACAATCAGCTGCAACTTTGCCTTAATAATTTCTCTGTAGATCTCTTCTTACAAACCTATCTTCCCTCTCAAAACCCCTATTAAAAATACAAGGTAAAACTTGTCAAATTTCTGATTCCTCTGATCCTATTACTATTTTTTTTGAGATGGAGATTCACTCTTGTTGCCCAGACTGGAGTGCAATGGCGCAATCTCAGCTCACTGCAACCTCCACCACCCAGGTTAAAGTGATCCTCCTGCCTCAGCCTACCAAGTAGCTGGGATTACAGGTGCCCGCCACCATGCCCAGCTAATTTTTTGTATTTTTATTAGAGATGGGTTTCACCATGTTGGCCAGGCTGGTCTTGAATCCTGACCTCAGAAATCTGCCTGCCTTGGCCTACCAAAGTACTGGGATTACAGGTATGAGCCACCACATCTGGCCACTATTACTATTTTTGCCCAATTAAACATTATAAGTAGATCTTTTTCCTGGGTCAAGCTGACACTAGGGTTCAATTTTGCAAAACAGTAATTTAACTGAAGGCTAGTCTAGCATGTGGCACTTCTGCAGAGAGAAGCAGCTGGAGGGAGTGTAATGACTTAACTAAGAATGTTTAAGACAGGGCCGGGCATGATGGCTCATGCCATGATTCCAACACTTTGGGAGGCCAAGGCAGGTGGATCACAAGGTCAGAAGATTGAGACCATCCTGGCCAACATGGTTAAACCCCATCTCTACTAACAATGCAAAACTTAGCTGGACCTTGTGGCATGTGCCTATAATCCTAGCTACTCAGGAGGCTGAGGCAGGAGAATTGCTTGAGCCAGGGAGTTGGAGTTTGCAGTGAGCCGAGATTGTGCCACTGCACTCCAGCCTGGTGACAGAGCAAGACTCTGTCTTAAAAAAAAAAAATAGTTAAAACAGATAAGAAATAATAAAATAATCGTTATTTAGATTGAATGGCTCAAATGAGATAAATTTAGTAAAAAAGTAAAAGAAGAAATCATAATGAATATTAAAAGCAAATATTACATAGTTCAACTGGATTATATTGTTGAACTGCCAGAACTACCAGAGGGTAAGAAAACTAATGTTAATTAGTATTTCAATATAAGGCATTTGTTTAAAAGATTGTTGTATACAATCTATCACATAAATGTTCACTTTTCAACAAAAATTACAAGACATGAAAACAGGTAAAGTGTGAGCTATACATAGAGAGAGAAAGTAGTCAATAGGAACTGTATTGAAGGGGATCCAGATGTTGGGCTCAGCAGAGATCTGAAATACAGCTCTTATAAATATACTCAAAAAGCCTAAAGGAAAACGTATATATTTTAAATTAAAGAAAGCATACAAAAATGACTCTTCAAATAAAGAATACCAATAAAGGGATATAAATTATTTTATAAATTGGAATTTCTGGGATTGAAAATTAAAATAAGTGAAATGAAAACTTCACTAGAGAGGCTCAACTGCAGATTTAAGTTGGCAGAAAAGAGAATTCACAAACTTAAAGATCTATAAAACTTATCCATGCTAAAGAAGAGAAAGAGAAAAATGAAGAAAAAAACAAAGCATCGAAGACCTAAAAGACATTATCAAATGTATCAAAATATGCTTATTGAGACTCCCAGAAAGAGAAGAAATAGAAGGGAACAGAAAAGATTTCATAGAAACAATGCCCCAATACATTAATCTTCACATACAAGAAGTTCAATGACAGCTCAAGAAAGACTAAGCAGAGTAAACACAAGTCGATTTACACCTATACGCATCATAGTTAAACATTTAAAGACAAGGAGAAAATCATGAAGGCAGCAAGAGAAAAATGACTTCTTATGTACTAGGAATTCCCAATAAAATTTACAGCTGACTTCTCATCACACACAATGGAGACCAGAAGACATTGCAGCAGCACATTCAAAGAGATAAAAAGGGAAAAAAATCTCACAAATTTTATGTTCAATAAAACTATTTTAAAAATGAAATAAAGATATTTCCAGCTAGATATCTCTGATAATTTGTTACAGAAAAGACTAAAGTAAATTTTTAGGGTAAAAGTGAAAGACACCAAATGGTAACTTAAATCCATGTGAAGAATAATGAGCACCACTAAGAGCAATTACATAGGTAAATACAGGGCAGTGTGTTCGTTTTCTACGGCCTATGAAACACATTATTGCAAATATGGCAGCTTAGACAAATTTATTATCTTACAGTTTTGTTTTCCCAGCTTAATTTTTTTTATTGTACTTTAAGTTCTGGGGTACATGTGCGGATCTTGCAGGATTGTTGCATAGGTATACACGTGCCATGGTGGTTTGTTGTCTCCATCCCCCTGTCACCTACATTAGGCATTTCTCCCAGTTTTATCCCTCTCCAACCTCCCTGCACCCTGCTGTCTCTTCCCTAGCCCCCACCCTCCAAAGGACCCCAGCGTGTGATGCTCCCCTCCCTGTGCCCATGTGTTCTCATTATTCAACACCCACCTATGAGTGAGAACATGCGGTGTTTGATTTTCTGTTCTTGTGTCAGTTTGCTGAGAATCATCATTTCCAGATTCATCCATGTCCCTACAAAGGACACAAACTCATCATTTTTTTAAGGCTGCATGGTATTCCATGGTGTATATGTGCCACATTTTCTTGGTCCAGTCTATCACGATTGGCCTTTGGGTTGGTTCCAGGTCTTTGCTATTGTAAACAATAGGTTGGAGAAGTTCTCCTGGGTGATATCCTGAAGAATGTTTTCCAGCTTGGATTCATTCTCCCCATTACATTTGGGTATGCCAATCAAGCATAGATTATGTCTTTTCACATAATCCCATATTTCTTGGAGGCTTTGTTCACTTCTTTTCACTCTTTTTTCTCTATTCTTGCCTTCTGGTTTTATTTCATTGAGTTAATCTTCAATCTCTGATATCCTTTCTTCTGCTTGATCGATTCAGCTATTGAAACTTGTGTATGCCTTGAGAAGTTCTCATGCTGTGTTTTTCAGCTCCATCCAGTCATTTATGTTCTTCTCTAAGCTGGTTATTCTAGTTAGCATTTCTTCTAACCTTTTTTCAAGGGTTTTAGTTTCTTTACATTGGGTTAGAACATGTTCCTTTAGCTCAGAGAAGTTTGTTATTACCCACATTCTGAAGCCTGCTTCTGTCAATTCGTCAAACTGACTGGATGGAGATCCAATTTTGTTCCCTTGCTGGTGAGGAGTTATGATCCCTGGAGGGGGAGAGGCATTCTGGTCTTTGATGATTTCATCCTTTTTGCACTGGTTTCTTCCCATCTTCATGGGTTTATCTATCTGATCTTTGAAGTTGGTGATTTCAAATGGGGTCTCTGAGTGGACATTCTTTCTGTTGATGTTGAAGCTATTTCTTTTTGGTTTTTAGTTTTCCTACTAGCAGTCAGGCCCCTCTGATGCATGAGGCTTTTTTTTTTTTTTTTTTTTTTATTATGCAGAGGTCAGGGAACTGCTTGAGGAGGCAGTCTGTCATTCTGTCCCTTGTCTGCCTGCAGAGGCACTGCTGGGTTGCCTCGGACTCAGCCCAGCTGCTGTGTAGGCTCCCTCTGGCTTTTGTTTACACAGGTGAGATTAGATCCGCCTTCACAGTGGCAGATGCCCTTCCCACCATCAAGCTCTATTGTCCTGGGATGAGCTTGAACTGATGTTCTGGCTGTGAAACTCTCAAGCAAGAGGGCTTCAATTTGCTGGTCTTTGTGGGGATGGGACCTGCTAAGCCG